TTTGATTGAAAATGCACTGGCGCAAGGAAAAACATGGATTGCTGATTTTATTTTGATTCAAGATTATCACAAATAACAGAAAAGATAACGCACAAACGCACGGATATGTTGACATATAACCCAAATTTTGATTTTGGGGCAGTTTACACCAATACCTTTTTCTGTAATCTTTGTTTTCGCAGTACACACGCAAAATGCTTCCAATGATTACGGCGATAGTCCATTCCTCTGTTAAGAACAATTCTAAAAACAATTTTCTGTATGACAGTTCAGATTGTAGGTCGTCTTCGTCAGCTAACGGTCACTAAACGTTTTTACCTATATTTACTCTTTTTCTGAAATCTGTTATTTTACAATAAAAAGCAATATGCTTCCAATACTCACAACAACAGTCATTTCTACTATAAAAATTATTTCTAAAAACAATCTCTTTTTAAATACTTTTTGATTGGAGATCGTTTTCTTAAGCTAACTGATACTGAATTTTTTGACCTAAATGTACTCTATCTCTGGATCTGTGTGTCATAGAAGAAATTGTTCTTAAAATTGTTTTTAACATTAGAATTGTCTATCGCCACAATACTTGGAAGCTTATTGCAAAATCACCAATCTCAGAAAAGAGTTCATTTAGGTAAAGAATTCGAGTGCCAGTTAGCTAACGGAGACGACCTCCAATCAAAAAGTGTCTTTAAAAAAATTGTTCTTAGACTTGTTTTATTAGTAGAAATGACTATCGCCGTAATAATTGGAAGCATATTGCATACTTAGAATGAAAAAATAGATTCCAGAAAAACAGTATACATAGGTCAGAACTTGCAGTGCCCTTTAGCTAACGAAGACGACCTCCAATCAAAAACTGTCATTTAATAATTTGTTCTCAGAATTGTTTTTTACATAGGAATAAAATATCGCTTTTATTGAAAGCATTTTGCTTGTGTATCACGAAATCAATGATCTCAGAAAAAGACTTAATGGTCAAAACTTGCAGTGCCAGTTAGCTAACGAAGACGACATCCAATCAAAAACTGTGATAAAAGAATTTGTTTTTTGTATAGAATTGACTTTCGCCGTAATGAATTCAAGCAAATTGTTTTATATTTGGAAATTCACTCCCCCCTAAATTGTTCTCAGAGAAGCTAATAAAGTAAGTGAGACACATAGAGAAACTGTTGAAGTTAAAGCTAAAGAAGGAAGAAGGTATCTAGAGAAACACTAAAAGTAGAAAGGAAAGTACCTTGAGAAACTATGAATAGAGAAAGGTGCCCAAAGAAACAAGAAAGGAAGAAGCAAGGGCGTACACAGAAATAAATCTAGAGGGGAGTAAATATGCGCGAAGCGGGGGAGGGGCAAAATTTGAACCGTAAATTCAAAACTTTTGGCTTCTTATCGATACTTTAAAGGTACACACACAGTCCAATTACCTTTCAAGTACTATACTTTATCTCTCCTTCAAACAAAACTAGCAGAAAAAAAACAGCAAGCTAATTTTTTTATGTTCTATACTTTACAGTGTGATAGCTCTGAGTTTTAGGGGGGGGGTACAGTCCCCCCTCCCCCCTGTGTACGCCCTTGGGAAGAAAGGAAAGTGCCAGAGGAAACTTGATGAAAGAAATGTATCTTTAAAAAAATTTAAGTGAGAATTGAAAGTAAATGAAGAAACCCGAAGATCGGAAAAATATGTAAATGTATATTCACCAGGCAAAGGAACTGAGATTTTACAACAAACTCAAATTTTCTAATCCCTAAATTTGCACCATGATGGTGTAAACCTATTTTATACCAAACTTAGTTTATTCGATCTAACAGAATTCTCAGTTAGAAATATCAAAGGTTTATGACATTAGGTTGCAAAGATAAAAGGGATTAGAAAATCGTAGTTTGTGTTAAGAACTTAGATCCTTTATTTTCGGATTTATGAAAAACAATTTCATGATATTAACAGATTATCAGGAAACCACTGATTTGGAAAATAGATAATAGTTATCTCCATACACAAATAATGTTTAATAAAAACTTATTCACTAATTAAGTTTTTTAAAAATCATTTTAGAAAAAACCTCTAAATTGCGATGATAAAGCTTCGGTAAAGATGGAGCTAAAACGGAAACCCCCCTCATTCAAGGTAGGAAAGCAACTATTTTGTTTTAATGGGACAGTAAGCGTCATTTTATATGCATTCCATGCAAAAATGGCAATACCCGATTCACAAAAAAACGGTTTTCTGAATCTTGATGTATTAAATCTTAATGTAGAAACCGGTTTTCTGAATCTTGATTTACAAATCCTGAGATGAAATTTAAAGAATTTGAGCCGCGAAAACCCGGTTTAAATTAAGCGCCGGCTTAAATCTTGAAACATTTGATACAATTTTAAGTGGAACCAACCATATTTAAACCGCGACTTAAATTTAAACCGCCGCTCAAATTCTTTAAATTCGGCCACTGGTGTCTTAAATCTTAATGTAGAACCCAGTGTAGAAACCGGTTTCTTGAATCTTGATGTAGAAACTAGTGTCTTAAATCTTAATGTAGAAATTGGTTTCTATAATGTTGATGTAGAAACCGATTTCTTGAATCTTGATGTAGAAACCGGTTTTTATTCTTGATGTAGAAACCAGTATCTTTAATCTTGGTGTAGGAGCCGGTTTCTTCAATGTTGATGTAGAAACCGATTTCTTGAATCTTGATGTAGAAACCGGTTTTTAACCTTGATGTAGAAACCAGTATCTTTAATCTTGGTGTAGGAACCGGTTTCTTCAATGTTGATGTAGAAACCGATTTCTTGAATCTTGATGTAGAAACCGGTTTTTAACCTTGATGTAGAAACCAGTATCTTAAATCTTGATGTAGAAACCGGTTTTTAACCTTGATGTAGAAACCAGTATCTTTAATCTTGAAGTAGGAACCGGTTTCTTCAATGTTGATGTAGAAACCGATTTCTACAATCTTGATGTAGAAAGGTTTCTTGAGTCTAGATGTAAAAGACCGGCACCGAATTGAATGAATTTGAAGGGTCACTGAACTACAAACTTCCGGTTAAAATTTGAATCATCGATTCAAATTCTTCCCGACTCTTTATATTTAGAATTTTAACCGGCAGTTATAGGTTTATTCAGTGGCGTAGCTCAAATTCATTAATTTTGGTCCCCGGTTTACGTAAACTTCATAAGTAATATTTGCCATGTTTGTGAGGGTAAGGACGGGTTTTGGGAGAGAAATCTGGCTAAAGAAGGACGAAGAGAGGGGAGATTCGAAGGACGCATGAATGAACGTAGAGAGGGTAGATCAATAGAACGACGGGATGAACGATCGATGGATCGGCGTGATGGTCGATCGATGGATCGACGAGACGCTCGTACAGGTGAGAAAGATTTTCTGTTATTTGGTAAAAACTAATCTTAATTTAATATTTTGTTTTGAGAAGAAAAAAACAGTGGATACTCAAAGTTGGAAAATTGGAACAACAACAACAACAACAACAACAACAACAACAACAACAACAACAACATGAAGAACAACAATTATATTGATAAAATTGATAAAAAACAGCGAGGATACCAAGATGAGAGTAAGCGCCAAGATTATAAAGAATATCAGGTTAGATCATTACCCACAAAGGATTAGACTTCAGAGACGAATGTACGAGTACATACAGAAATAATACTATCTGTTTCCTTAAATTCATGATTCTCTGATTGAAATTAATTTAAATTCATTTAAAAAGCCAATAAAAGACTTAATTTAACCTTGGAATCGTCATGTTTTAAGAGATTTCGGTCGTCTTTACATTCTCATTCTTTGTGGGTAACCCTGTATCATACATAATCATAGTCTTTGACTTTGAAGTTGATATATTAAATAAAACTTTCTTTTTAATCACAAGAATATAAAGTTAAATGCTTAAATTATGCAAGCTTGAAAATATATTTGGCCAATAACATACAATTTCAATATCGTCACTTAATTCTCATGCTTAGTGGGACACCCTGAATATATATATACTCAATTCTCATGCTTAGTGGGACACCCTGTATATATATATACTCAATTCTCATACTTAGTGGGACACCCTGTATATATATATACTCAATTCTCATACTTAGTGGGACACCCTGAATATATATATACTCAATTCTTATACTTAGTGGGACACCCTGAATATATATATACTCAATTCTTATGCTTAGTGGGACACCCTGTATATATATATACACTCAATTCTCATGCTTAGTGGGACACCCTGAATATATATACACTCAATTCTCATGCTTAGTGGGACACCCTGTATATATATATATATATATATATATATATATGTACTCAATTCTTTTGCTTATTGGGACACCCTGTATATATATACTCAATTCACACGTTTATTGGGACACCTTGTATATATCTACTCAATTCCCATGCTTATTGGGACAGCCTGTATACATATCTACTCAATTCCCATGCTTTTTGGGACACCCTGTATATATATATCTACGATCAATTCCCATGCTTATTGGGACACCCTGTATATATATATACGATCAATTCCCATACTTATTGGTACATCCTGCATACTGTATATATCTACTCAATTCCCATGCTTGTTGGTACATCCTGTATAGTTATATATCTACTCAATTCCCATGTTATACCCCCCTATATATAAACCAATCCAGAGGAGTTAAGGACTAAAAATACATGGCACGAGGCGATTAATCAATCAAAATGATGATAATTATTTGAATTAATGATATTGTGATAAATCAAGTCTAATCCGGGAAGTTAGTGTGAAATGAAGCGAGAGATATGGTCCATCGTGTTGCTTTGTCCTTGAACATTTTATTTTAAATCAATTCAATTTCAAATAATTAGTAATAAACATTAGTTCATACTCTTGTCAGAACTAAAAGGATATTATTTGGAAAGAAATGCATCTGTAGCTATAAACATAAAGTAGCAATCTCTGTTTGTTTGTTCGATCATAACTCAGGAACCCCTTAAAGGGACTGTAAAGGAAAAATGAAATGGGGTCAGGCATAAACCTAAGCATTTTACGAGTTGATCGAGACCCATGAGAGTTCTATCTGATGTTCCTGTCTCGAGAAATTGATATAAAACTGTGTCAAATTTATACGAAAATGTATTTATGTAAAATTTTGAATAGAAATAGTAGATATAAACAGATTATATTCAGCAAATAAGCAATAAATCTGAAAATGACGATATCAAAGAGAAGTCTGAAAAACATAGGTTTGCTTCTATTATTTGAATATAATAATTTTTCATATACAAAAGATTTAATGGATAATATTATTTATACGTCTTTATCACGTGACCAGAACTCCCACCAATGGCAGAGTGCAGTATACTGGTCACATGATACTGACAGAGACATATAATAATGATACAGCACTGCCATTGGTGGAAGTTCTGGTCCCATCATATGTACGTACATTATCAAGTATATCTATTAAAAATGAAAAATTATTAAAATTTAAATAATGATAGGAGCAAACTTATGTTTTTCAGGCTTCTCTGTGATATCGTCGTTTTTTATTGTTATTATTTATTATTATTATTTGCTGAATATGATCTGTTTAAACCTACGATTTTTATAAAAAAAATTATATATATAAATGTTCGTATAAATTTGACATAGTTTTATATCAATTTCTCGAGACAGGAACATCAGATAGAACTCTCATGGGTCTTGATCATCTCCTAAAATGCTTAGGTTTCAGCATAAGTTTTCCTTTACACTCCCTTTAACAGAAATGCTTCAAATTTTGATTGAGGACCTCACTAGAACCACGGGATTGAGGACCTCACTAGAACCACGGGATTGAGGACCTCACTAGAACCACGGGATTGAGGACCTCACTAGAACCACGGGAATGTGTTCAGTCAGAATAGAAATAAGGAAGATGTCGATTGTATATCTCGAAAAGAGATAATTGAGCCTTTGTCACAAACTCTGATTTTATAATCCTTATATCTTTGCAACGCAATGTCGTAGATCTTTAATATTTCAAACTATGAATTATGTTAGATGAAACAATCTTAGTTTGAAATATCAAAAACTTAAACTAACAGGTTGCAAAGATAAAAGGATTAGAACATTTGATTTTGTGACAAAGCATCAATTCCTTTGACCATTTTCTTTCCTTGTTTCTGCTGCTGCTTATATGTGTACTCAGATTCATCTTTCCAAAATATTAGAATAAAACAAAACCTAAGTTTTGTTTAATAACACATTAGTTCCCCTCAATAAAAATTAATAGTTCATTTGTTTTAACAATTTGTTAATTTGTCTCAATATATCAATTTTACGTGTGAAATTTATAATTATAATAATAATAATAATAGCGTATATTAGGTTTGCACCAACATGAAATGAAAATATATCTTAAAGGGACTGTAAGCGTATTTCAAGTGACCTTCCATGCTAAAATGGCTATGTCCGATTTACAACGTAACCCTTGAAATGAGGAAGATACCGTTGCTTTTTTGACTCAGAAATTGTTTACTTCTGTGATTTCCTCCATTGTTTCCTATTAGCAAGAAACTTTCGCAAAGAAACCGTTAATGAAGATAGACAGTTTAAAGAAACAAACACATTGATATCAAATTCATACTTGGTCAGAGAAAGCTTTCAATGACACCTTTGTTCATCGGACATTGCCCTCTTGGAATTGAGGATCACTATAAATTACCCTTCAATCCCTTTAAGATGGTAAAATTCACAATTTCCTAATTATTGTATTGGAGTAAACCTTGAATGTAGTTGTGGGAAAATATTCAACTAATTACATCAAGCAGAGCCTAGTGCAGTTTATATATCTCATAGATGACACTGAGTCTAGAGAATTAGTTCTCAAGCAATTATATAAATTTATCATTAAATTCAAGGACGAATTATATACTCGTCTTCAAGTTAATCAATTTACTGTCTGTTTAGAAATAGAATTTCTAAACTTTTTTGAAAATTAATTTTGAAATTGCTATTCAAAACAAACGAATTTTTAAAAGTTTTTTGACTAATTTTCCCTTTATAGTAAAAAACATAATCATTTAATTTTCATCGGTTTAATTTATAGAAATAATTTAATGCTTTGTCTGACCAAGTATGGATTGGATATAAATGATTTTAATTTGAAAAACTGATTATTTTAAAGTGTGGTTTCTCTACAAAATTGACTTACGCATTTCTACTGCAGAAATTATATAGGAATTATCAGTATAAAACTCTTTCAAACCTAGAAAATATCTTTCCATTATTGATGAGATAAAGGTTTGAAGATAGAAAATCTGAGTTTGTTGCAAAGACTCAATTCCTTTCTCTCTCCTATCCTTTGATTCGGATGTTTGGTTCTATGCAAATGAATATCATCTTGGTAAGTTTAATTGCTTTGAACAAACTGAATTATATTTAAGGTTGAATGCATTATAAAGATATTGTCCATGGAAGCAACCAACACAGTCTAAAATATGGATTATATATATTTATATATGATTTATACTTCTTTTAAATAAAAGTATTTAAAATGCACTTTTACTATTTTTAATGTTTATCTATTACTAGCTTGAGAACAACTTTGCCTGGTAGATAAACTTACGCTACAAAAGTTCACCCACTTGACTTGGAAAGGAATTAGGTTGTCACAAACTCTGATTTTCTTCTTCTTCTTATCAACTTATTAGAAATATGTAAAAAGATTAACAATATATCAAAAAATTTTATCATACTGAACGATATTATTCAAAATATATGATATTATAAATCATCTAAACCCAATGTCGTAGATCTTTAATATTTCAAACTTTGAATTCTTTTAGATCAAATAATCAAAGTTTAAAATATCAAACAATCATATTGCAAATATAAAGGGATTAGAAAATGTTTTAATTAGGTGCAATAACTCAAGTCCTTTTAAACCAAGGTAAGAACATTCACACGCAAGAAGCATTGCAATTGCAACCCTTGTTAGTAAGGTTTCACTAAATAATTTTTAATTCTTCAAACTTTTCTTAAAGATGTGCCTTAAAAACACATACACACGTGATTATAATATTGGTTGATTACAAAATGAACAAATTTAAACATATTATTTTTTAATTTAGGGAAAATAACAGAAGCCTAATATGAACTTCTGACAATTATCTATAAAAACAAGGTTTTTATTTTAAACAAATGAAAATCTTTATTTTAAGTTTTCTAAAAATATGGCTTTAGGAATTTAACTAGAATCCGGCCCTTGATGTAAATAATTGTGGAAAAGAGATGTTTTCTTTTCTCTTCTATGAAGGAACCCACGAGTAAAGTGTCGTGTCCGATAATTATCCTTGACAGATCCAGTGGCTTTGTTAAATTATAAAAATCGACCTCATAAGCTCCAACCCTCACCCTACAAGGTCCAATCTTTATCTGCGTCGTTTGCAACAAATTTTTGGAACCATTCACCACATTTTGACGGACATTTAAAGACAAGAAATGGCACTTAAAAAATGTATTGTACAGGGTTTCCCAGAAAGGATGAGACTTCAGAGGCGACTGTACGGAATCTTACAAGGCTTTTTTCTTAAACTGATGGTTCATGTAGCTTTAAACTATTTGCATTTTTTGTTAAATCATTTCTCACATCTTTTAAAAGTACAAAGACAAAAATTAACCTTCAGATTTTCAGTATGAAGCAGTTTTAGGTCGTCATTGAAGCTAGTCTTATCCTTTGTGGGTAACCCTGTATGTCACTGTTAAGGAGCCGTACTAGAACACCGAGAGAAATGTAACTTAATATAAAATGTTACATTCCCCATCTGGAGAATATAGGAGACTTTTATCCTTTAAAGCAAATGAGTTTTTGACACAAATTAAAAATTCTAATCCCCAAATCTTTCAAATCTGAAGGTTTAAATGTTTAATATTTCAAACTTAGAATATTTGATCTAACAGAATTCATAGTTTGAAATATCAAAAGTTTTCGACATTGGGTTAAAGAGATATTGGGATTAAAAAATCAGAGTGTGCGGCAAAAACTCAATTCCTTTGCCGTTGGAGGGCGTTTTTGTTTTAAATATTTCAAATACAGCGCCGGTGTCGTGGATCAGTTCATCCCTTTTTAAAACCAATTTAACCCAATGTTAGACATCAAAAGCAATGTTATGAAACTAGCTGATGATTATCAATGTATTTAAACTGAAAAGCACATTAAAATGTTTAAATATCTCGAATAAATATCCAATGTCTGCAGCTTCTCCTGTTACAGCTCCGGGACGACATTAGAGAAGGATTAAAGTTGTTAGTTCACAACTTATATATACATTGAATTATTTAATCTCTAATATAATATCTGAACGATTTTATGTCTTCGACAAATAAATCATAATAATAGATGTTTTACATGTCGCACCTGAAGAGAATTGTAAGAAATAATTTCAATTATTGTAGATTCTTTATTAAGTTAAAATTGAATATTTTTACTTGTTCATTAAAAGAATATCACATTTTTACGTCAAAAATCAAAACGACCTACCTTTGCTTAGGAAACAGTGATTATAAACCAATCCTAAATTATTTCCCTGTTTTAACAACTACAACGAGATAAAAGTGTAAAATAATTGAATTATGTTGGATGAACGACTTTGATCATTCAAAGAAAAAACAATCATGATTTAAAAACGAAAGAAAAAAATCCAAACCTGTACAATTTAGAATTGTTTAAAAGAATTAAAAAATATCTTTTTTTATGAACAAAAGAGTTTTCCAAAAGATATAAAAACTGTTTTTTTTGTGTAATTGAGAATAAAATAGCTATCTATGCTGAAAGTTTTAAAAATTGATTTTTTTCAACAGTTCCTTTACTACAGAAGTGATTTCTGATGTAGAAAAATTTAAGAATTTTTAGAATTATAGCCAAAGGTAACAAGGATATCTTCCACATATTTGATAAAATGAAGGATTGAAGGGTACCGTTTTAAATTGTTAATATTTTTAAATGTACGGACACTTGAAATGACAATGACAAGCCCTTTTTCCTCCACATTTTTGAGCAGATAAAGGTGTGAAGGGTCCTTTAAAAGTGCGGACATGATAAAGGATTGAAATTACGCCTACAGTCCCATTATCTAATTTAACTAGGCATTGAGTGGATATGGACCTTTAATTGCCGCCACATTCAAGGCGCGCAACTAGACATTCAGCAAAGGGAATCCAAAGGGAAAATATTTCGCACGTAGCGAAAATTTTTTTTTTGCCACCCACTAAACATTTCTAGGGGGGGGGGGCAAGAAAGTTGTGTATTATACTCAACCATGAAAAAAACTACCTTACCAATTTTGGGGGAAAATTTTTATATTTGGGGGCACTCATTCGTTTGGGGCAAATTTGTAAGGGAAAAATCTTAAACTATATTTCAGGGGTAATTTTTTATTTTTTTGGGGCAATTTTTTCGGGGGGAAATCTTAAATCTTTGTGTTTGGGGCAAATTTAGATTTGGGGGCTTTTTTCAGTTTGGTCAATTTTGTGTATGGGAAGGGAAATCCTAAATCTTATGTTTGGGGTCAAATTTTTTATTTATGGGCATTTTTACAATATATAAAGGGGCATTTTTAAATAAGGGTTATTTTTTTGTGCGGGCAAAACTTCTTGAATTTTTTAGCAGTATCTAAAAAAATAAGGGGTATTTTTTTTCAGGCAGGATTGTAAATTTTAAAGTTGGTTGTATTTATAAAACATTTGGGGATAAAAAAAAATTTAATTTTAATGCAAATATAATTGGAGGCATTCTAAAAAACTAAGGTTACAAATGTTGAAAAAAGGGGAAAATTAAAGTCTGGTGGGGCAATTTGAGTGTAATTTAAAAAATTAAAATTTGGGGGCAGGGATATTTGTATTCATAAAACCCACGGATGGGATATTTGTATTCATAAAATCCACGGCTGGGATATTTGTATTCATAAAACCCACGGCTGGGATATTTGTATTCATAAAACCCATGGCTGGGATATTTGTATTCATAAAACCCATGACAGGAATAACTTAAACTAAAGATTGGCGCTATTTCACACAAATGTTTTGACTGCAGTGAAAATGGTATTGTTTGTATTCAGGTTGATAAGAGAAGGTGGGGTTGGGCTGGTCAAGATACAGGCCACAAACCTATAAGTACACAATCTGCAGGACGGATACATCAGGTTGGATATCATTATCAGGACGGATATACTGGGTTAGATACCATTATGATGACGGATACATTAGCTTGGATATTATATAAGGACGGATACAACAGGTTGGATATCATTATCAGGACGGATACAGCAGGTTGGATATCACTATCAGGACGTATATACCAAGTTAGATATCATTATGAGGACGGATATAACAGGTTGGATATTATTATAAGGACGGATACAACAGGTTGGATATCATTATCAGGACAGATAAAACAGGTTGGATATCATTATCAGGACGGATACAACAGGTTGGATATCATTATCAGGACGGATAAAACAGGTTGGATATCATTATCAGGACGGATACAACAGGTTGGATATCAATACCAGGACGGAAATAATAGATTTGATATACCAGGACGAATGAAGAATACTAATTTGACAATGATAGAAACAAGTGTAAAGCTATTCTTTATTACAGTAACAGGAGGAATACAAGATGATAAAATAAAAGAACAGATTGATAGAGTAAAGCATGACCGAACAGGACGGATGATAGAATGACCCCATTTAAACAGGACGGATTGATATGGCAGTGCAGAACGGTTACAAAAAATAGGACGAACACAGTAGAACAGGACGGATTGACAGAATGGTCGTATTTTAAAAGGACGGATTGAGAATATGAGAAACTATTATCAAGATCATATTCCAATACTTAGGACGGAGACTACATTGAGATGTCAAGCCTAGAGACTCTAGGTACCTCCGGAGATAGCAGTGGAGAGAGCCAGGAAAAATTCAATCCTCTGTAATAATAATACTAATTAAGAATTTTTGACCAAGTTTTATTTGTTTAATCATTTGGACATATTATTTGTTTAACCATTAGGACTCTGACATTCAACAAGATCTGGGTTCTAATACGTAAACAAATATAAGCATTATTGATATAAGCAAAGTTCAAAAAAGTTTTTCCTTTTAAATGAAATCATGATTTTTGATTAATTTTGATGCTTAGCATTACCAGCCTTCTATTCATTCTAACTATTCATCTAAACATTATATCAGGTATAGTATCTCAACCTTTTAACCTTTGGAAATTAGAGAATCTATCTTTTTTTTCAATTTTACAACTATGTCATATTTAAAGGATTCATTTGAAATATTAATAAGGGCGTACGCGTAAACAGGATTTAACTCTTAGTTCACCCCAACCCCTCATTCAAATATGCATTGCAAGGATTCATTAATCAAAATCAAAGTTTTAAATTCAAGAAAATTCCTGTTTTCAAATTTAAAATTTAAGAAAACCAGGGTTTTAATACATAAAAATCGGAATTTAAATACATGGAAATTCGTGTTTCAAAATTAAGATTTCACATACAAACAAATCAGGGTTTAAATTTTTCAAATTTAAGAAATACATGGATTAAATTTATGCAAAGTTTTGAACAAAAATAGTTAAGTAATCATTTTATGTGTCCTGAGACTGAATTTAATGAATCAAGAAGTAGTTGAACTACGTAGACTAAATTACCACTTTTCATCAACTTTAACTGGCAAATGCAATAGAAGCGGTTTAACTACGTCAATCTGGTCAGCGTTTATATCAATGCAATGAAGACGACTTTTCTATCTTAGCTTTGATTTCTAACCACCTTTTTTCAAATTACAAGTTTGCTAGTAAACAAATAGAAGCTTTTAATTGAAATCGAAAGTAGTCTTTCTTTTATTGATATATACGACGATGACGACTGAAGTTTAACTGCTTCTCGCTTTTTATTAAATTTGGTTCTTAAAAGCTTAAATTCGGGGGTTTAACTCTCAAATATTTTAATCTTATTTTTCCCTTGTTTTCCTAGAAAGCTCCAGAACACAACAGCTAATTATACAAGATCAAGATCAATTTCAAGGTACAGGAAATCTGGCTTTATATCATCTATTTTTATGGAAATAAGAAAATTTAAGTCTTCATGAAGAGAACGCATTTTCTATTGTTCTCCGAAAACGTCAAAAATAAACTGATTTGAAGGCAATATTGCACCTTTAACTCTTGAAAATTCATGACAAAATTGCTAGATATTTTAAATTGTGGAAATTTTAAATAAAAATATTTAGTTCCATTTTAAGGCCTGCAATCTAGCTTAGACATGTTTTCTCCATTCCAATTCTGACTGAATTCCTAGGTATAGCAATAATTCCTAGGTATAGCAATAATTGCTGACATTCCATAGATCAATATATGGATATTTTTAAGGGACATAATAATAACTCCAATTCCATTTAAAGATTTACATTTTCGATTCACAACGGTACCCTTTATACCTTTATCTGAGTAACAATGAGGAAAATATATCTTATTTTAGATCTCGGTCTATGGGTCCAGTATCCAACTTTAACTCTCAGGGATCCCAGTATCCATCCCGGCCCCAATCTCAGTTTCCGTCCCGTTCCATCTCTCTATATCCGTCCCGTTCCATCTCTCAGTATCCGTCCCGAACCCAATCCTTCTCCTCCCTGGCAGATCCGTATGTAGGAGGAACCTCTCTTAATCTTAAACCTCTCCGTAGCCTCTCTTCTCAGGTCAGAATTAGGGTTTGCAATCTTTTCCGGATTAATTTGGCAACGGAAATGTCTCATGGAACCTTACCGGAAGCTGTTAAGAATACTAAACAATTAAATACGTGAAATTTTAGGGCGGAACCTTTCTTAGGGGAAACCCTCTATTTACATAAAATATTCGTTCCGTGTATTTTTCTTCAACTTCTAGGATGTTCAGTAAATTTTTAGTAATTTGGTTAAAAGAAAGGTTCTGCTCATAATCTCTACAAGTTTTTTTTCTCATAAATTTAACATTCTTAATAGCTTTAGGAAAGGCGATTTACGGAACCAATTTTATTTTTGATTTTATTTTGGAAAACAGAGATCTTTAATATTTCCATTCTCCAAAGCTGATAATAACTCTCATCTGGTTATCACTATGTCTTTGCAACCAAATGTCATAAACCTTAGATATTTCAATCTATGAATTATGTTAGATTGGATAATCTAAGTTTGAATTTTCAAAGGTTTACATTTTAAGATTACTAAGATATAGCGATTAGAACATTTGAGTTTGTGGCAAAGACTTAATTCCTTGAAACGATTTTGATTTCTTAAACTCGAATTGTTATTTAATACATTATTTATTAAAAGATTAAAGTTATGTTTGTATTACTAGATGTTGTATTTTGACAAAACCACAGATTCTATATCGGAGAAGGATCATGGTAGACCAACCCGCAGCTACAAATCTAGCCCGGGCCGGTCAACTCTGCTTGACCTAAAAAATGTTCGAATTAACGACAGCGAAATTCAACAGGTGCAAAACAAACTACATTTCGTTCCAATAAAACTTCATAATTACCATCAATAAAACGATAATTTTCAAGGGAAAAAAATCTTTAGGAGGGGGGGGGACTTTCATGAATCACAGTCCTCGCCCTATCCTACTGATTCAGTGTAAACGTCTCAGAATCTCGTTCTATATTTAGTACTTTCTGACTCAAGTCTTTATTTATGGGGGATAAACTTTTTTTTAACAAGATAAATTCTCTTATTCACCAAGTCCTACTTGTGCTCGGTCAAATTTTGAGTGACTCCGCACTGAAAAGGGGGCACGGTACCCGATTGAACCTTTATTTGATAAATATGTGGAAGATATTAACGTTTTTAGACAATATATGTCTAATTCTGACAATTTACTTCAGTGTTTCTGTACAAGAAATCCGCCATTCACTAATGTTGGGAAACCACAAGTTTAAAACATGGATTTAATATATTTCATAAGTCTTGATTTTATAAAGCTTTTTAGGGTAAAACGTTGTAAATAGGACATACCACATACATATACGGAGATTGGAGTCAATTGAAAACACACCTACAGTCCCTAAAAACTTGAAGTTGAATCTGTGCAGGATGATGCCCTGGTTATAGTAGAACTATCCCGCAAAGCTCTAGTACGGGGTGGAGTAGATGGTCTCCAGGGTTCAGCTCTATATGGCAGGGTTGCTGGTTGGATTAAGGTAATCAGAGGCCAAATTTAATTAATGTTTACTAGGGTGCTGACCTAATTACCACCGGTTCAAATCTAGAATTGACGATTCAAATTCGCATGAACTAGTGATTATANCGACCTCTCAAATTTCCCAAAAATCAAAACTTTTCTGTTGTTTCGGGATCAAGCCTTGTTTTCCATATCACATTAGATATCGAGATCAAGCATTTATCCTCAAATTAAAAGTGATCACATTGGATATCGAGATTAAACGTTCAAGATTACCGATAATCCAACCGATAGTTCCGACCTTGAAGTAAAAGGGAAACAGTGGTTGTTTACATTTTACAATTGTACTGCAAACTGAACGAGATGGTAAACTTTGTGAGACATAACTGGTACAGATGCATAGTGACCTCGTAGCTCCTCTAGTTTATTCGGTTACAACCGTTACATATTAGAATCTTAGAACTTTTTATTCGGTTACAACCGTTACATATTAGAATCTTAGAACTTTTTTGTCTTCTCAAAGCTCTCCAATACGAGAAGTTTTAATTGAAACCATATTTGATTTCAATCTTACTATACACTTTTACTTTAGTTCGGCATAGTTGACTTATTGAAGGGAGAGAAGGCCGGGGGCGGGGGGGGGGGTAAAATATAAGCTGAACTAGATATTTATTGGGACAGTCTGTGGCAAGTATTTTATATTTGTCGGTAGTTCATCTGCCTAATTACGCCTTACTAAGCTAGCCCAAATGATTTTTAAAAGTGTTATGATGGGAAATATACAGGGTGACTGTGAAAAAAGTACATTTTTGAATAAAACGCCTAATTTTTAAGGTTAAAACTGCATTTTAGAGAAAAATAATGTTTTATCGACGACGCCCCTCCCCCCTTTTATAGGCATTATACCCACTAAGAGCACTTTTCAACACAATACAACGATGTTTAGTTGGGTAAAAGGCCTGAACAAAAATGAATTATACAAGATGATGATGTTGCGTACAGTGAGTTCCACTGAATTATGCAAATGTCGAATTAAAATTTAAAATGGTTTTTGTGATCATTCAGGTTAAATTTAGATAAGTGCTTTTTTACAAAAATGTGTCAACTAATAATGTACTTCTGTTTACGGTCTTTTTAGTTGAAATTGTTTTGGTTTAGAGAAGCTGAATTTTTACTCCACCACAGAATTATGCAAGTATAATCTTTTTTCATTGAGATGGGAAAGAAAAACTATCGTTCCACTGGTGATAACATATGAGTTCATCTGGGTCAGGGAAAAGATACTTTGTGGATTAAACAAATTTTTATTGCTGGGCCACCGTACAATTCAAGAATATTTAAATGTAGGTATTGAGGAACAGAAAAGGGGGGGTTAAAAGTGCGATTATGTAGCTTTGTAAAACAGTCCCCTTAATGAGCCCCCTACAGGGCAATAATCATCAACGACGTATTGAGAACATGAAAACTGATTTAAATAAAATAATTTTTACCAACGAGGTTAGGGCAACCCTGGAGAGTCCGGACAGCAGCTGGGTAATAAATGAACAAGATGCCAAGACAAGAAATAGGCCCCAGGAGGGAAGGGGAGGGGTTAAATTTTAGCATTGATCATCAAAGACAATCTGGTTGAGCCATCAATAATACCAGAAGGATATAAAATTAACCATGAGGCCAGTTTTGACCTCTTAGAGGCTAGTTTCTCTCCCTGGTTTGATCAACAGATCCAGCAAAACAGAAGTCTCATTTTTTGACAGGATATAGCCCTAAGTCATGTATCAAAGTGTAATAAAGTTGTAGAGGTTGTAGGGAGGCCAGGTTATGACCTGGCCTCAAAATCTGGGTGACCTCAACTCCATAGAAATCCTTATGGCGATCTTGAATCACGAAATTTACAGGAATGAAAGACATTTTGGGTTAAGGAAACCCTTTAAGAGGCCATAAAAAGACTATATTTGCAGAAGACTTCATTTAACCTTGTAATCGCCATATTTGAAGAGTTTCCGGTCGTCTTTACTGTCTCGTCCTTTGAAAGTAACCATGTACATTTTATTTTAATTCTTAAGCTATTGTCTCTCTATCGAGTGTCTTTCAAAAACAATAAAAAAATTGGAGGTTTCATGATTTCTTTTATTCCTAGGATAATGTTGAAGAAGAGCTAGGAGAGTCATCTTGGCAGTGTATTGTGGGAGCTAAGGAATATAGTTTTATTTTTATCACATCATGTACTGTTATCCTAGATTAAAAATTGACAATAATTGAACAAATTTTGACATCTGAAAAAAGTTTAACAATTCCACTTTTTCCAAAAACACGAAAAAAGAAAAACCATAAAACTGATTTTCTTCCTCATTTTTAATTATTAGAAAAATTAATATTATGAAACGCCGCGAGAATCTGTTAATTAACAGCTTCTCTTTGTTTTTTTAACACTTGAAATTTGCAAAAAGCTTGATAGAGATCAAACTTGAATAGAACATTCGTCTTCGTTGTACTGATATAATTGCCGATCACTGTATAAAAAATACAAGTTACAATTTCATAATTTAAAGGAATACAGACGATACTTATTCCACTGATACCATTGTAGCATACGCTGTATTCCTAACAAAATTACACTTTAAACAATCCTTATTTCGGTTTTCCCTTCTAAGATAATTAAAAACTATTTGATTTAGAGTGTGTTTGGATGCTGTCTCTCCCCTCTACCTAACTGCTATTTCAACTTCGATATAGGCGACATCACAATTCTTATCTTCAGAGGATGATTGCCTTTGGCAACTCTAAACTGTTAACTTTTCGGGGGTTTATGGTGGGAATAAAGAATTTGTGGAAAAGGAAGTAGGCTCAAGGTTTGATTTAGAATAATCTAATTATGCAGTTAAGTTAATTTTCAAACTAATGCTATAACTATTTCTTACGTAACACCAATCAAAATAACGTTGCTTAGATGTCGTCTTGATATTCCACTATTTTACATGACCCACTATATTTTTTACAAAATTCCTATTTCGTACACTTAGATCAGCTTTAAAAACTTAAGGCATTAACGTAAACACATTTTCATCTCGTTGTGNAACCCGAAACCCTTTGTTAACATTAAAAATTCCCGATCAAAATATATAATCCTTAAGAAAATACTATGTAATCATAGCAGAAGTAATTTATCTACATTATTGTTAATTAATTCCTACAATATGCAAGAATTTGCTTTTCATGTCTGCAATATTATTTTGATGTGTAAATATTTATATCTAAATCTATTGGAATAAATCATTATTCAATACATATTCAATATATATATTTGATTAAGTTAATAATGTTTTATTTGTCATACAATTAAAAAAATTAACCAAGTTTTATTGGCGGGGCAGTTTTATAGGATGTACTGGAATTTTTTTTTTCAATAGAAGCCGATTTGTGCGTGTAAAAATAAGTATTTTATTACAATTACAAACCCAATCAATTGAATTAATATTCAATGGTAAAAAATTTTTACTTGGTAAATGTAAGAAAAATTATATTATATTTAAATCAAAAAACCCTTATTTAAGCTAACATTCTATATGAAGTAGAAACTAATAAATGGCAAGAAATTAAACCACTTCTTAAGCGTAGAAGTAAATGGCTGGTCAATGATAATTGTAGTAAAACGATCAGTTATTGGTTCAACTACTTTTTACAATTCATCAAACCCGATCTAAGTAGTCTCTCCAGTTCTTCATTTTAACTAGATTAATTTAACCCAGTGAATAATATATATATTTTAACTATTTAGAAACATTTAAACAATTTATCATTAGAGTAACAAGGCTATATTACGTAGCTAGGCATTAAACTTAAAAAAAGGAAATTACTTCAAATTTGAAGGATGATGTTGATCGTAATCTTGAATTTGATTGACCGATAACTTTTTTACTTTCATCTTGAAATAACCTTTTTCTATGAAAGAAAAATCAACTTAGATCCTGAATGTAAGGTCATAGAAAACATATCAAGTATAATTTTCTTAATTTTTCCCAGAAACAAAAAAGATCAGATTTAACATTTATCCTCTCGTTAAAAAAATTTATTATTTTCCAAAACTTCTTGCGCATTTTTGTTTGATGAATCGGAATATACAAGTTTCAGTCATATTATCGAACTTGAATACCGAATAATGTTAGAATGGCACGATTTCAAAATAAAAAAAAAAACCATGAACTATGGGAAGTGAGTACTATCCGATCAATTTAAGCAAAATCACAAAAATCCGCGGAATCTATTAGAGCTGCTTGGTAACAATCCGTAACAAATTTGGGCTCAAGGCCATTCTGAAAATACAAAAACTAACAAATTAAAAATCTCCCACTTAGGAATTTTTTATAATTTTTAGTAATTCAATAGCGTACTAGTCCAAATATATGTGATGCACCCATTACACGTTATTGGCTGGAAATTGTAAACTGATGATAAATGTTTATATATATATATATACATATATTATCTAGGAATAGTCTAGAACTATTCGTTTACATTGTCTGATATATAGATGCTGTTTATGATATATCTTGAGTCCTCCCTTGATTAAAACAAAGGTTAATCCTCCGAGTGCTGCACGTTTTAATGGGGATCCAGTTTCCGGAAATAAAGTTCCTCCTGTAATAAATATAAAATAAGTAAAAAATATGCACCATGCTAGTACTACAGGGCTGTATATTTATGGGAATTAAGAAAAAATGGTTCTTACAGATCTGGGGAAAAAAATGAAAAATTGGACAGCAAAAGTATTTAAAACAGTATTGTAAACAGGTCAACATTTTACAGTAATTTAAAATCTTATTTTCTAATTAAACTTGATTAAAACTTTAGTATAGATTGTAACTATTTGTTTTTGCACTGTTAAGTTTGATTGTTTAAAACCTTCTTGGTCCACAATTCGATGTCAAAATAACTATTTGGAGAGGCCTCAAAGTGTAGAAACAAGAAACAAGAAAAAAGAAAATTTAGCAGGAAAAAGTGGAAGGGAAATCTCTTGATATTAGAGAAGACATTCCCGCCCCCCGCCAGGGAGGGGGGTGAGAGAATTGCTCTCCCCCCCCCTCCCTGCTCCCGAGAAAATTTTAGGTATTAGTGTTTTTCCTTAGTCAGATGCAAATCAAGAGTAGACAATTCAATATAGAGTTCCGAAAAAAGAAAGTTCAATTAGTTCAATTAAATACAGGGTTCAGAAAAAAGGAAGATCCTTTAAAAATAGTTCTTTCTTGTTAAGTGGCGAACTAGGACATTCATTAATTTTTTTTCTTTTTATTTTCAATATTAGCTGAAATATAATTGAAAAATGTATGAACAATAAGAAAATGAAAAAAAAATATAAAATCTCAAAATATTTTCATCTGATATCAATATTTAAAATATTGTAAAGTTTAATCAAAATAAATTATCAAAATTAAAAATTATTTTTTTTTTCTGTTCTCCAGCTGTTCACTTATATTCTCATGATTGGACCTACACTGAACCCTAACACAAATATTCACCTCTTTTTTTTTTACTTTTTACTTAGAATTATACGCCTCTTAAATCTAAAGTGTTCAGGGACCTGGACTAGACAGCCAGCTAATGAGCTCTTAGGGTTCCCTGGCACTGCATACATTCTTAGAATTCATCAATGTGTTTTTAACCCACGTATATACATATACGACGAATAAACTAATTATTTATTTATTTCGAGGTGGCTCGGACGAGAAAATGAGGAGAATGTGGCTCGGACGAGAAATTGTTGTTGCTGGCCTTCCTCCCCTCCCCCCACACTTCCATGAAACTATTCATATACCAAAACCAGTCCAAAATCATGTGTGGGGTTGTTATAAGACTTTTTTATACTAACCTAGGAATGTTGCAATGGTTGGAAAGAAAAGTGCTCCACAGAATGTTCTCGTAACGGATACAGGATCTGTGGAAGGAGGTATTGACGCTGCGGCTCCACTTCCTTCACGTGTAGGGACACTGGCGAAGGCAGGGAGTAGATAACTTGTCAACGGAACTTTTGGCAAATATAATCTCAAAACCTAACACAGGGATATGAATATTCTGGGAACAATATTCAAGGGAAATAATTTTAAGAATTTAAACCCCCACAACCAGTGCTTAGGATCCATTTAATTTTGATGCGGATCCGGATCCGCACTGGAAAAAATGGATCCGGATCCAGGTCAATTCTTTAAGATTTAATGAATTTTTGTAGCAAAAAATAATTTAAATTTTTTGTTTAATTTTTCCCGCTTATTTTTATCCTAAAACTTGAAGAACCATTCAGAAATGAGGAAATTTTTATAATCTCTTTTCTTTCAAAAGTTCATATTTGGGGGTTAGGAGTAAAATAGTGTGTGTTTTTTTTTTTTGCAGTTTATGGTTGATATTTTACCCCTAGGATCCGGGGATCCGAATATTTTTGCGGATGCGGATCCGGATCCAGGAAGCCAAAATCTTGCGGATCCAACGGAACCGGATCCTAAGCACTGCCCACAACACCCCACCCCCTCATATTATAGAAACTTTGATGAGAAAACTAAGCAGCGCTTTTCTCCACACTTTTACTTATTAAATTTATTCGGATACAAATAATGTGTTTTTTACCATAAAACCTTAAAAAATTTCTTTGAATATGCGGGAAATGATTATTTTAGTGGAAATGAAGTTAAGAAGGTTTAGGAACGCACCAAAACTTGGAAAAACATCAAATATAAAATTAGAATAAGAATTATTAGCATCTATAACAATTCTACATGTTTAGCTCTGATCCCACCTTAATAATCGGATCCTGCCATTTAATCATTTTGCCGAGGACGAGTCCGACCGGGATCAGAGGTAAGCTGACCAGCAGGAGAAGAGGGTCAGCTCTTTCCATCAGGTTCCAACCTTCATCATGCCCAGCTATCTAATAATGGGTTTCATCAATTTCAATCAATTTCAATCAACTTCAATCAACTTCAATCAATTTCAATCAATTTCAATCAATTTCAATCAATTTCAATCAATTTCAATCAATTTCAATCAATTTCAATCAATTTCAATCAATTTCAATCAATTTCAATCAATTTCAATCAATTTCAATCAATTTCAATCAATTTCAATCAATTTCANCAACCAACCAACCAACCAACCAACCAACCAACCAACCAACCAACCAACCAAGAATCAATATCTAATCCAGCTAATCAATCAAAATCCAATCTTATCAATTAAAATAAAATCTGATCAATCAAATCAATGAGCAAATCAATAAAATTTATGGTAAATCGAATTAATCAATAATTAATAATTAGAATTTTTTATAAATCAAATAAATACGCTAGATCAGCAAAACTTTCCAAACTGAAAAACAATAGCTGGAAATACAAACTACTAGTATCTACCTGCATTATAGTAACAGCCCCGAAAGTGACACAAGACCAATAAACACCTCCAACTATAACTCCTCCAGCGACTACAGGACAGAGTCGACCCACCAGAAGATCAGCTCCGTCCAGCACCTTCATGATAGCGCCAGAGGGAGGAAACCCAATCAAGTATCCGGTCCCGCACTGCGGACAGGACACACCGGCGAAATTATCCCCTTTCTGCTTCTCGTCTATCCACCGCTGGATACAAACTTGATGAACCCATTTTGTAGTTCCGCTACACCTTAAAACAAGAATTTGTCAAAGAGAACAAACGAATTGAATCTTTGCCCAGGGGTGTATATTTTCTCAAAAAATCACCCCCCCCTTGAAAATCTTTTCCCCGTCAGTTATGCATGGTTTGACGGAGTGAAACCGTTCTAGGTGTTTGTTTGCTGAATTGGGGAAAATAGATTTTTAGGAGAAAATAATTAAAAATACTGAAAACCTTGCCTTTTGATGTCACATTTATATTTTTTAATCTTTCCCAAAATCATCAAAAATCATTTCACATTCCTCAACCCCCAGGAGAGGGGGCGGGGAGGGGTATAATTCTGAAAAATTTACACCCCTGTCTTTGCAACCCGTTGTCATAGACCTTAGATATTTCATATTAAAAATTCTGTAGCCAAAAATAAATATTTAGTTAATGCAATATACGATGTACTTTGGTTTTTGGGCTCAGGACTATCAACCCTCGTGCATCAGGGACACAATGTCCCCGATTGTGCTACAGATCTGCATATCCGAAGTCAGTGACAGAAACCCAGCAAATCACATTAAAACCTTTCGATTCCAGAATAATCACTTTAAATATTTGTGTTGATAGATACTCAGCTATTGTGTCCTAATATGGCCATCCTAGAGTTTCTCGAGAAAAAATTAATGAAAAGAATTAAAATTTCATCCTGTTAAACATCGGTTTTCCTTGTGCATGTTGTTCATTTCCTAAATCAATAACTAAAAGAAAGTTTCTTTTCAATAATTTCAAATTACAAAATTAAAAAAAAAAAAACCTATTTTACACTTGCATACATTTTTAATAGTTCGAAAAAAATGAGACATCTAAAAACACTTTGATAGGGCTAATAAGCCGCCTTTAAGAGTATGGTGTAAAGTTAGAAACACAAATGGTTTAAACCATCAGCGATATAAGGATTAGAAAATATTAGAATATGGCAGACTCAATTCCTTTGAAGCTTCGCCTGTATACCTAAACCATGAAAGTGCAAAAAAAAATATTACTACTTTCATCAACATCTTGCAGTGACATAGATAACAGCTAAAATCATTTTGTAATAATTTTTAAGTTCTTGTTATGAAACCCACCTGCAAGGATGAACCCATCCTGCCGTCGGATCATCTTCTACATTAGCAAAACAAACCCAGCACTGTTTATCATCATCCTCCTCCTCCTCTTCTTCGTCGTCGTCGTCTTCTTCTTCTTCTTCCTCCTCCTCCTCCGCTTCATCTTCATCATCCACTAGACCAGCCTAAATAGTAGAATAATAATATCCTGCCTTACTTCTCTCTGTTTAATAAAAATCGTATGTACAAATACTATTTACTGCAAATCAAGATGTGCACACACTCTCACGCCAAAATCAAGCAGTATTTTGCCAATTACTCCCTTGAAACTTTAGCTAGAACCGAGCGCATTTTATTTTTCAGTGCACATCTCCAGGGCTACAAAAATGTATAAGTGAGTTTGTTAGGTAAACCAAGGGCCAAGGCACTTTAAAGTCAAGGTTGTCTAAAAATTGTATGACCAAGTTGTCTAGATTTCATTGTATTTCGTGTATGTGTAACTTTTTTTCAAAGAAGTTGTAAATTCGCCAATAAAAACAAAATTGTAAATTGTCGGATTCAGGAAAATGTACGCAAGGAATTAAAATGTTATTTATGTTAAGTTTATCAAGACAAGTTTATCAAGATAGAAAAAAAAACGGATCAAAGTCCAAATATCAAGATTATATTCATAAGGTGAAAGACAGTTTACAAGAGTATTTTAGGGGTGATAGATTTTTCTCAAGTCCCCTCCCCTCTTTCTGGATAAGAATATATTTGGATATTAAAACAGCAACTAAAAAATACGGTGCTAGCGAGAAAAAAAATCATTAAAATTTGTCATTAATTCAAAATTCAACGTATCAAAAGATTCAGAAATGTTGAAAATACAGTAACAAATGACCAGGCTTGAGCGGCATCAGACGTATCTTTTGATACCAATATCGACAGGTTTAGAATGACAAGGTAGGAAGAGGGGTCCAATTTAAACAAAAATGTTCTCCCATTTTTCTAATAATCTAAATTCAAAATATCAAACAAGTTTTTGTTAAAATCATTAAAATTCCCCAATTTTGCTAAAAACAGAAGACAAAAATACATTACGAGGTTTTTTTTTCACTTACATGAATTGCAGCATGTTGCTGAACAATATCATCATTCTCATAATCCGTTGAATACTCGTCACAATAGTGTTCTTCATTCTCACTTCTCTCGTCCTTATCCTCCAACTCGTCCTCTTCAGTAGGATCCCATTCGTCCTCTTTTCTAGATAAAGCGGACGAACTGTCGTCCCGTGTGTGCCGATTGTCCGAACTTGAACCCGTTTCTTCAGATTGGGGTCTGATGGTCATAGAGGGAGGACTTTGATGATTGAAGCGGAAATTTTCCATTTTGTTTCGAAATCTATTCTTCCTCCTGTAACAGAAAAAATAGGAACCGGATCCAATGGCAAAGTAACACCAAATATATAAAACAACAATTTCTTTTTCAAACTTAAATTCGTATTTTACAGAAGTCTATTCGTTTTAAAAGTGAGAATTTCCTTGAGTGTCAAAAGCTGACTTACTTCCCCTCAATTTACCTTTATACACATTTCAACAGTTTCACGTAGATTAGGGTTTTCAAGTGCAGCAGATACACGTTCCTGACAATGACAATAATCATGGCAATAATCATGACAATAATGACAATAATGACAATAATGATAATAATGACAATAACGATAATAATAATAAAAATGATAATAATGATAATAATAAATATGATAAATATGATAAATATGATAAATATGATAAATATGATAAATATGATAAATATGATAAATATGATAAATATGATAAATATGATAAATATAATGATGATAATGATAAAAATGGTGATAATGGTTATGATGATTTTAATGATTATAATGATTAAAATGATTATAATGATTACAATGATTACAATGATTATAATGATTATAATGATTATAAAGATAGATAGATAGATAACATTTATTGCTAAAATACATGTATCTGTGTACTAAAAAAGATAATATGATAATGATAAATATAATAATGATCTTCATAAATAGGTTATGGAAAAAACCTTATATCTAATATTTAAAAAAATAATGATAGTAATAATCAAAGGCAGAAAATAATAGACACCTTTCCACATTTAGAGATTATTCCGTACCTTGTCGTTAATCTGTTTGTTTATATCCTCTACTGTACTGTGAGTTCCAGACTTAACAAATATGTCGAGTTTGACAGTTCCAGGAACCAGGGTTCTTTCAAGCTTAGTCCGGATACAGAGACCTTTACTCAGATATATAGTTAAATACAGAGACCTTTACTCAGATATATAGTTAGATACAGAGACCTTTACTCAGATATATAGTTAGATACAGAGACCTTTACTCAGATATATAGTTAGATACAGGGTCCTTTACTCAGATATATAGTTATATACAGGGTCCTTTACTCAGATATATAGTTAGATACAGGGTCCTTTACTCAGATATATAATTAGATACGGGCCCTTGCCCCTTACTTTGATAAATAGTTAATCACGGGGCCTTTAATAGATATATCTCTATTTATATAGCTATCAGGACAACCAATAACAAAATAATCTTATTTTAAGATTCGAAAAATAATTTTCGATAATTTCATTATTTTTAAAATCAAATGGCAATGATTAACAATTTTTTGAATTAAACTTATGTTATAAATTATATAAATATGTGTGTATATATATTATAAATAGTTTATATTCTTAATGGTTATATATCTTCCTATTAACGGAGCTAACGAACAGTGCTGAACAGTCGGTACAAACTCAATGTTCGCCACGAACTTATCTCCTGAACACCCGAACGGGTAAACAGTGATCAGATTCTCGTCAACTACGTTCAGCTCCTGAACATAATTTAGAGATAAAATTGAGACATGAAAAACGAAGAAAAATTCTCAAAAATAAAAACCAACCTCAAGATTATTATCCTTTTCTGGGTCCCGAATGGTCCTTAAAAATCAAATTTTAGGAGAGAAATAAAACCATTTCATAATTATGAATAGATTATTTGATAAAGTTCTGAAGTTTCAGTTTGAAATTTTACAGTCTGAACAATACTATTGCAATGAGAAGGCTAAGCGACAAAATAAATTAGTTTCCATCTTGTAATTACGTTACATTTTGAAAAAAAAATCAATAAAAATTTAACTTAATTTATCTGTTAAGTTTGATTTCTTAAACCTGATCTGATCGTAAATATTCTCCTTCAATTCTTCTACTACTCTATCAATAGATACGTTTAAAGCCTAAATATAAAATATCAAAAGTTAACATTTAGTACAGTAGGGTCCGTCCTAGTCAACAATTTTTGGCCCCCGCCTTTCATCTCCATTCATTTTTTTAAATGACAATGAAAACAAAATTAACAATAACAATTTTGCATTATTTCAGGGTTAGGCTAGGACAATTTCTGGGCCAATCGCTGCGGCTATGACAGGTTAGGGGGCCGATCGCTGTTGCTATGACAGGTTAGGGGGCCGATCGCTGTTGCTATGACAGGTTAGGGGGCCAAGCGCCGAGTTTAGGGGTACGGGAGCTGTGACCACATATACAGCTTTGACAATGTTTAACGAAATTTTAATCAATCTTCTGTATATTTGATAAAATTATAAGTCATGTAGCTTGAAAATCCACTTATGAGTAAACTGTATCAGAGTACACAGCACAATTGCCGTGTTCCATGTCAATTGAACTAATTAAATTCATAATTGTAAATCATTTTTCTGTCCTAGTTGTGACTTTATTCACGGCTTAGTTCAAATTTGTTGGATAATTACGTTTTAAAAAAATCATAAAATCTAAAATATATACTCGTTAGTTCCTAATCCCCTGCCAATCTATATATAAATTTGGCTTGTCTGTCTGTTTGTTTGTTTGTATCCAATAAACGTCAAAACGGCTGAACCGATCGAGCCCAAATTTGGTATATTCCTAGTATACGATTTTTGGACCCCCCCCCCCGGCCCCCCCCTCCTATCAATTTTGTACATGGGTCTGACAGGAAGTGTCTTAACTTATTCTAACCTGTGGCCGCAGCGCTCGGCCCCCTAGCCTGTCCTAGCCGCAGCGCTCGGCCCAGAAAGTGTCTTAACTAACCTAACCCGTGGCCGCAGCGCTCGGCCCCCTAGCCCATCCTAGCCGCAGCGCTCGGCCCAGAAATCGTCTTAACCTAACCTAACCCTAAATAACAAAAAAATAAATAATAATAAATTTGCTGATAAATAAATGGTCATGTACAAAATTGATAGGAGGGGGGGGGGTCCAAAAATCGTATACTAGGACAGACCCCCATATTTTTTGTTGGACATCACGTGACCACAGGGAAGGTTTAAGAATGATCAAAATTCCAAATATTTGTCTTCATCAAAATTCAATCTTCATTAAATTTTTGAAAATTTTGAAAATCCACGAAATTTTTTGTGAAAATCCGCGAATTATTTTAGTTTTGTTTTACGATGTACACAAAGACTAGAGAACATGTTCACAATTAATTTAGAAGATGGGCGCGAAGCGCCCTATAAGGCTAGTATAATATATTTCATCAGCTGTAAATTCCAGACGCGTCGCGAATTTGAAGTCTAATTTGAAACGTTGATTTGAATAAAATGATACTTACGTCTTCTCCTTTCTCAATTCTGGATCCGTCTTGTGTTGCAGCGAGGACTAATTTATCCTTCAAGAATGAAAACATTTCATTTTCTCTAAATCTATATATCTTCTAACAAGGTCATAGAAGGAAACTAATTGCGGCATTCACGCTGGTAGGTATCACCGACCTGCTTCAATCAACTAATCAACACATTTCAGCAAAAAATATTTGGAAACTAAAAGTTTTTTTTAAATTGAAATTAAATTTGCTGTAATTTCAATACAGAACTTCAACTTTTCCCATGTTGTTAAAATCTATATTTATTGTTGCTTGATGGCATGTGTTTGGGTCGATTTTAAAAATGTGGTCTGCGATTTTTTTACTGCCTGACCTGTAAAAGCTGCTTTTAGATTAATTTTAAAAAGAGTTAAATGCGTTCTTTGCTTACAGTAAAGCTTAACATTTAAAATTTGTATGAAAACACTTATAACTCGCCCAGGTTAAACACAAATTTTTTGAAAAAAAAAAATTTTAAAATTTGAAGATATTTGGGTAAACAACCGAAAACAAAAATGGAACATTACTTCAAATACACAGGTTGCTTTAAAGCATATCAAATTACTGTATGTCATATATTTCACTTACAGATAGTTATAAATTGCGTTATTTGGTTATAGTTTTAAACTTTATCATTTTACACGATCGTTTAAGCTGGTACAGTAAAAATGTTAATAAAAACACTAATTTTTATGAGTCTCTTCCTATAAAAAAACATGTTATTTTTTACTGAACAAAACACGAATAAATACCACACCCAAATCCGACAAGGATGAACTTTAGAAAAAATTTAAAATGTTTCACCCAAAGCACTGGAAGCACCAATAGAAGTTGAAAACCTTTTCTCCGAGTTAAATCTTTCTTCCTTTTATTATTGAGGATTATCAAGTGGTCAGTGTTCAGCGAAGAGAGGATCATCAAGATGCTCAGCGAAGGGAGGATTAACAAGCTGCTCAGCGAGGGGAAGATCAACAAGCTGTTCGGCGAGGGGAGGATCATCAAACTGCTCGGCGAGAAGAGATTCATCAAGCTGCTTAGGGTGTTCACTGTTCCTTCCTCTTAAACGTACAGTTCCTGGCATTAGCTTGAGTTTGTTGGGAACTTATTCATTCCAAGGAAACAATCCAGTTCTTGCAAAGCACTTTGCACATATATTCTCATCCCTGAAAACTTTTCAGCGGCTTCCCATGATGGTGTATTTTTCGCTACGCAAATCCGCTATACTCCACTTCTGACCTACGCCAAATCCGCTATACTTCACATCCGACCTATTAGCACGTGGTTTTACAGCCGCAATTTTTTAAATAAAATCAAATAACGCACTTTACTCTAGTAAAACAAAACATTAAGGTTCAAATGGCAGACCATGATTTGTAGCTATTTAACAGGGTGTCTCACATCAATTAGATCGTTTACAGCTCTAAATTCAAGATTTCAGGGATTAATAAGAAAGTTTTTTAAGAATGAGTAATTAAAAAAATGTATAAAGCCAACATAAAAAAAAATCTTGCAGAAAATACCAGGTTTTTCAAATATTATGTGCGTATTTTGGCGTTAAAGCTTGAAGATATGGGACACGCTCTGTATCTAAAAAAACAGTGCTTTCATTATTATCACTTTTTTAAGAAAGACACGCTATAAATACACATGTCTATGTGAATTGCAAAATATTTGCATTTAACTGTGCAAATGTAAAATATTAAGAAAACGGTATTTCACTGATTTACTGCAATTTTCGCATCATGTTTTAGTGAAGATATCTTAAATATGTTATCTATAGATCAAACTAGTCTAAAATCGTTAAAAATCTCCCGACTGCAGAATATTCCACTATTTCTTCTGTTTGCGTATTTTTCTTTTTTCACAAAAGTTGATTATGTAAGAAAAACGCCACAGTACACGTTTGCCGTATTTAGAATGTTAGGTCATATAACTTTAACGGTTCTAAAGAAACAAATATTTAAATTTTACAATAGAAAACATTCAGCGTACATTAACTAAATATTTCTCAAAATTAAACTTATTCTATTTTTATCGGTGGTGTATTTTTCGACCTACGCAAATCCGCTATACTCCACTTCTGACCTACGTCAAATCCGCTATACTACACATCCGACCGAATAGCACGTGGTATTACAGCTGCTATATGGACTTGTGGTCGCAGCGCCCGGTCCCCTAGTCTGTCCTAGCCGCAGCGCTCGGCCCAGGAATGGTCTTAACCTAACCTAACCCTCAAATAATCAAAATTAAACAGCTGGCGTAGGTCCGATATTGCAGTATAGGTCGGAAGTTTAGAAGGGGGGATGTTAAGTATAGACGATGTAACATTACCATTTTGATCATAATAGATCTTGTAATATTGTAAAATTAAGCAGCAAATAGATATATTTAATTTCCTAGTTGGATTAAACTGAAAATATAAGAATTTCATTTTTCCACCAAAGACCAATTCTAATGGTTTCTTTAGAGCAACGGTTATCAACTTAAACAGTTCTCATACAAAATACTTCTCATGCAAAATTTTGATATAGACCTGAAGTAATTTTTAAAAGGACTAAATAGAAGTATATTCCAGTTCAATAATAATATAGCACAAAATAATACGACTTCTACGCGTTCAAAAAAAAAAAAAATTTCTAAAAATATTTAAACACTGGTAGCTAAATCTCATAAATTACTCTCAATAACGAAATTAAAATTAAACATGTTCCATTGAACCCTGTTTGTATTAACAGAATTTTTCTAAAAAATTCTCGGAAAGCTTATTAATGAGAAAGGGTGATGAACGAGATTATTGAGCCTTTTTTATTCCATCATTTGACATTTTAATTAGCACTCTAAACTGTATACCCCTCTCCTAGAAATGACTAGACCTAATACTAAAATCTGAAATGGATCCTGTTGATCATATTCAGCTCTTGTTAAGCAAACAAAACATAAATAAGTTCAACGAACCGTCGTTATATTTCAAAGTGAAACTCCATTTAAGAATGAGATGACCGATTCACATATTATCTTATCATTATCTTATCATATGAACCATTATCTTATCATAAATGTGAGATAACGTCGTTTTTCTAATTCAAATGAAGTCTGACGATTTCCTCCAATGTTTCTGCAGCAGAAATCAGCAAGTCAAAATATGGATATTTGTACTATTCGCCTTTGTGAATCGTACATGCAGTTCTATAAAATAAGTTTCACTTAAAATAAGTTTTAAATTCCTTAGAGGAAGAAAAACAATCGGAGATATTTTTTATTTGTAGATTCATAATTCTAAATACTGGATGTATTGTTTGAGTGATGCAGAGAATAAATGAGATAAAAAAATAAAATTAGATTCCGAAGGGTAAAAATTACAACCTTTGAAATATCAAAAATTAACAGTTTTATTTCCGTAGAATTGTAATTGTTTCATCCTTGAAGTTAACGAAGTACAATAATCTGGGTAAAGTAGGAAGAAGTATATCATGTTCATTGTACAGCTTGAGAAGTACATGTACATCATGTACAGTTAGTAAGTGTACAGCTTTAGAATACATCATATACAGTTAGTAAGTGTACAGCTTGAGTATACAATCCATCATGTACAGCATGTACTGTACAGGTGTTGAACTAGTCTCTACTCCACCATCCTGAGTTCTCTATTTCTTCCCAAATATCTCCACCCCTTCGTAAAACGTCACTATTTAGTTTATGAATATCAAGAGATACACTGTGCTCTACAGGTTGGTCTAGAGGACCTTCAAGTATACTCACAGGTTCATCTTCACCAACATGATTCTGGTTATCAGGTTGGGACGGACCCGAAGGAAGAGGAGGGTTGACCGGTACTTCTCCCTGGTCTGGGTACTGCTGATAGTAGTTTTGATACTGCTGCCATGCCGCCATGTTGCTCCAGTAGTGATTATATTGGTTGTAATTAGCCCCATACTCTCCGCCCATACCAAGAGTTCCGCCGTACTGTCCACCGCTAGGTGGATACTGCATACCTTGGGCGGAGGGATCCTTCGCCTTCTGTACAGCGATGGAAACTTTAATAGGTTTTTCTCCCAGGCCAGATATTCCCTGCATAGAGGTTAATGCTGCCAGCTGTTCAGTTTCATTTCCAAACCGGATAAAACCGAATCCTTTACTGCCTCCATTCTCGTCTAATATAATTTTGGCGGATACAACAGATTGGAAGCGTGCTGAGAAAAACTTGTAGAGAAGAAGATCGTCGATCTCCGTCGAGAGATCGCCAACCCAAATAGAGTGATTTTTTTCTCCAGGAAGGTTTCGGTTTGAACCATGATTTAATTTATACCGCGCCGGCGGTCGGGAGTTAGGAATCATTTTACCGTTGAGGCGATGCATTGCCGTTAACGCCATTTGATCGTTAGGAAAGTTAATGAACCCATACCCGGCCCCATTATTCTTATTCCTCATCACTTTCACGGAGATCACGTTGTCCTCTCCGCTCTGTTTCATCGCGTTCATTAGGAACGCTTCGTCCATGTATTCTTCCACTCCTCCGATCCATAGTGCACCCTCACGACTCATCTTAAACGAATTATCAGGGGGAACCCGGGGATTTATATTATTTGAGACCCAACCATTGAAGTCTAGTCTGAAACAAATAAGTTTTCATTATTTTGTTATTAAGTATGAATTTAAGCTATAGAACAAGTAGTAGTTTAGAATGCTATAGGAAAAAAGAAGGTACAGTTATAATCACAATGATATATGTTGAGATTTTAGCGTTGAATTCAGTCGCTCTTGTCGCTGTCGCTTGCCATTTCTTGGTCACTCTTGTCGCTCGACTTCTTTTCCTTTTCTTCGTCGTCGTCGTCGGTGCTACCGTCGCTTTTAATGAATTCAGCGCTCTTGAAACCTCCGCCAGTGCCGCCGCTCGGAGCAGATTTGCTCTTAGTCGAGCCGGAGGATTTTTTCTTGGGAGTGCCGCCGCTAGCAGCCGCACGTTTAGCGGCCTTTCCTTCCTTCTTTGCCTAAAATCAAATATAACAATTATGTAATAAATTTCATCCAAAATTGACTTTTTAATATCAGTATAATTCGAACTAAAAATGATTCAAGCATTTCTTTATACAATGTATAGTGATAATTCATAAGATTTTGTAAAGAAATTAACATTCTTTACAAAAGTGGTGAAGATAGCAAATCCAGTAATCATTTCATCCTTGAAGGAGTGACCGGCTAAACACTCCACATGGTAGTTGAACTGAGGGCACAGTATTATAACGATTTTTTTTGATTCATTAAACCTTTAAGTTATAGCACGTTTATACGGTGTATACTTGTCTAGCATACGCGAAAATTCTATCTTTAAAATTCTCCTGGATTGTCCGTTCTGGAGGCTTGATTTAGAAAACTGATATTTTTAAAATTATTAAACAAAAATCAAAAAAATATACATATCAGGTCGTAATACAATTAAGGGAAGTACATTTTTACTTATCATATTAAAAGTAATTAAGGTTCTTTATTGTTTTCTTTTTAGAATTTAAAAATTTACTTTATTAAAACAAAGTTTTAAAATGCTAAAGGGTAATTTCCCTGAAAATATTTTTTTTCTTCAAATATTACCTGTTTAATAGCTTCTGACCCTCCTGTTTCCAACCATTCTTTATACTCATCATCATACTTCTCCTTCGCAGCCTTAGCTTTTCCCTCCCAGATCTTCTTCTCTTCCCCGTCCATCTCTCTCCAGATCTCTCCACTCTTCTTACCAACCTCAGTCACACTGATCCCGGGGTTCTCCGTCTAGTAATTAGACATAAATTGACAGGAAAAAAATGTCAAAATTTATCTTTCATTTTGAAACGCCAATTTAAACAGAGATATCCGCACAAATTTGAGAACAATCAAAACTAAGCGCTTAAAAGCATCGTTCTTTATATTATACGATATAAAGGGGAATATATAGGAAAGTCCAATGTACACAGGTCGGCCCTCAAAGCAATCCTTTGTATATTTTTGGAATTAAATCGATTGGATCCACTTAAGTACGACAAAGATAATTGAAAATATTCCCGACTTCAAATACCAATCTAAATTGGGTGTTTTGAGTGTTCCTTAAAAAGTTAAGCAATCCAATCCAGTCAAATGATAGAATCATATCTATAATCTGGATCTATTATTATTATGATTATTATTATTGTCAGCAGAAAACTAAACATTAAATAAAATAGGGGTCGACGCTCCTCGCCACCGAACCATATCACTAAAATATTTTCTATTTAAACGATACCTTGATCTTTTCTCTTCCTTCCTCATTCAACCACATAAAGTAGGCGGACATAGGCTTCTTCGGTTGTCCTGGGAGCTTAGTCTTCTTCTTCTTTTTACTCGTTCTTTCTCCACTTGGTTTAGAAGTTTTCTTCTTTTCTGCTTTTTTCAGTTTCTTCTCCGCCTTCTCAGCTCTCTTCTTCTCCTGCTCTCCTTCACTCCCACTGAAATTCTCATCTCCTGTATCCGAACCTAGAAAAAAAACATCTCATTTGAACAATTCTATCATTTACGATCCCTTCCACCAAAAACAAAACTAGGATCTGGACCCGGATCCAACTAAATTATTTAGACTTTTCCGAAGAAATTTACGAAATTAATTTCTTCTTTTACAAATATTTTTTTAGCTGACACATGATGGACCAATAAAGATATCCGAATCCGCAATTTCAAAAATAGGGTAAAATACGACTCAGGTCTAAACAATCATTTAGACTAATTTAAGACTCGAGCTTTGGGATCTAAGTTGCGTCTAATTTTCCGCAGAGTTGGGTTTAATAAACCGGGTTGATACTGTATTTAATTAAAGCACTAGTTGAATGTTCACCTGTATCGCTAGGATCACTGTCATATTCCTCCTTGGCAGATTTAGCTTCAAGTTCATCAGGATTAAAGTCCTCGTCGTCGCTGGACATACTCGCACTATCATCACTGCTAACAGCATCAGCTTTTACCTAACATACATTAGATATAGTGAATAGAGCAGTATTTAAGTTTTAAATCTTCAACCCCCCCCCCCTCCCCCTAAAATCTTTGCTCCTCAATATTTGAAATTTATGTATTAGGCAAAACAAATATCAAAAAGAGGTAAAAAAGCTAGTTTGTTTTTTAAAAATCATTTCCACGTTCTTTTCATTTCTAATCCCTCCGACAATTTTTTCGTCAATCATTCTTTAAATTCATTCTTAAGAAATATACACTTCAGTGACCTGAGAAGAAAACTTTTGAATGGTGAATATTGAGATCAATGCTTGATCTTTTGATTTAATCAATCTCAAGAATTATTTAATCTTTAATTTTAATCCAGAAAGGTGTATAAAATTCAACCAATCAGAGTGACGTATCAAAACCAGGGACATTTGAAATTTTGCGCGCCATTTGATGAGAGAACTCTCATTGGTCCGAATCCGGTAGGGATATCCAAAAAGAGGGGGAAAGAACGGATTAAGTAGAAATCAAAAGAGTCCACAATTGATATTCTGATCAAGCGATGAGAGTATTAAAGGTATCCAATTCTGAAGTTTCAGTTAAATTTCTTTAGATAAAGAACATTCTAAATTGCTAATTGAAATTAATTTCTGTAGTAAATTATGTAATCTTGAAGAGGACGCCTTCATCTTTTCATTGCATACCTTTGCTAAGTTATGATCAATATCAGCATCGAGTTGAATCTTACTGGCATCCATCTTCCCTGTACTCTTCACGTTGATCTTCTTACTCTTCAAGAAATCATAAACCTTCCCGTACTCCTCCTTCTCTATACTGGAGAAGGTGTAGACGGTGTCTCCTCGAGTGTGAACCTCGATATCGAAGGATCTGTTCGAACCTCCGGATCTTGCGAAGTTTACATGCTGCACGTCCTCGTATTTGATGAAGATCGGAGGTTTGTACACAAATATAAACCCTCGTTCTAGAGGATAGACGAATCCGGAGGCCGCCTTGAATGAGCAAGAGATGGCTGGGGTTCCGCTATGACCGACAAAACTTCCAGGGACTGTGATTTTTTTGTTGACAAGAACCTAGAAACAAGAGAAATCATCTGATAGAATATCGAATGTAATTTCCATCAATTACCTTTTAAGGTATTATTTACGTTTCTGTTTTTAATCAAAATGTTAATTTGTGATTGAAAATAACCCCCCCAAATGCCATTAAGAAAAGTTTGATAAAAAAATATGTTTCTATACTCTTTGAATCCAATAAACGTCCAAATGGCTGAATCGGTCGATTTCATTTTCATTGTTGGATGTCACATGACCTCCGGGAACTTAGAAGTTATATGGCGTTATGGAGCTGAAAACTTTAGAATCGTGGATATCGAGATCAATGCTTTATCCTCTCTTTTTCTTAATCAGATTAAATAATGCCTGTTCTCCTCTTGTTATATTAACCGACTGGGATTAAGGATATCCCATACTAAAGTTTTCAACTCGGTTGGAATAAAAAGGATAACTAAAGAAAACATGAAAATTTGGGAAGCTTTTCTTTGATGCCCGAAAAAAAGTTGTGGCATGGAATACAACACAAATATAAAAAAGTTGTGGCATGGAATACAACACAAATATAAAAAAGTTGTGGCATGGAATACAACACAAATATTAAAAAATCAAATCATTGCTATAAACACAGAAGCAAAGCTTCCTAAAAGCAAAGTGCGTTTATAAACTAGTTAATTAAGAAAATGATTTTACCTTCATGAGTTTTGAAACTAATTGAAAGGTTGGTCCCTTCATCTCCTTCTCTAGTTTACCATCATACTTATCCTGAATATCATTTTGTTAATGGGACTGGAAACCTACCCTTGAAACCTGAACCTGATCAAAATATGAAAGATACCGTCGTTTTCCTTTCTGTGAGTTTCTCCATTAATTCGTTTAACCAAGAAATGCACAAGTCCCTTTCTCAGAGAAAAAAAAATGAGAAAAAAAACATTCGTTATCTAATTCATAGTTTATGAGACAGAGTTTTCAAGGGTACCGTTGTAAATTAAACAGTGTCATATTTGTATGGAGGATCAGTTGAAATTACGCTTACAGTCCCTTCAAGTTTTACTCATGAATGGCAACTTGTCTGTTTGTCAAAGTCCGCGGGGGAGTTAAATATTTCGACATTTTGAATTCATTTCCAAAGTTACACTTTTAATCTTTATCTACAATAAGGATGCTGATATTTAGCGGCAAAACGTATACAAATTGTAAACTAGAATATTCCTGTTTTATAATTGAAAACAAGAAGTTGGTGGAAATTTTGAGAACCATATTGTATTCCCAAGCATAAAATTATAACTTCACCTTTAGCTCCTCGTCTGTTATTTCCAGTTCTAACTCAGTCTCCTCGTCCTGCATGAAGGAGAGGACCAGAAGGGAGGGGTGGGGGATGATTCTTCAAGAAAAAATTGACCCCTAGAAAATTTTGACGAAGTCTGGGAAAATTATCGACGGTGGAAGCCAGGCGGAGATGAGATATTGAAATGAAGGCGGATGAGGCGGAGGGATGAAGTGTATAATACCTGGTTTGTCCCTGTTTGATGGGAGGATCCAGGTTCACACAGAAGAACATCTGTCTCTGATCCTTGTGAGGAAGGAGGAACAACCTGAACAGAAATAGATTAATTCTTATTTTTAATCTCTAGCTTTACAGGACCCTTCGCGCATACCTTTCCCATAACTACTTCGCTTCTTACTCTTGATCTTTCCGCAAGCCATTTGATTTACCAATAACATTAAATATTTCGCGGATTTTCTTGTTATCATTGGAGGATTTCCAATTTTTATATCAAAATAATTTCGAGGCTTGATTCTTTGGGGTCGTGTAGGTGAATACTATTTTAACGATCAATTGGATACTGGATCCACACATTAAAGCCAAATATCTGTAAAAGAATTAAGCTAAATAATTTTCTAATTCTTTTATCTTTGCAACTTGATATCGTGGACATTTTGATAATTTAAGCTATAAATTAGCTAAGATTTAAATTTCAAAGGTTTACAATTTGCAATTAACAATTTTGGAAGAGCTCAACTTCTTCAGTACAAACTATTGTTACAAGTATCATGAACTGAATAAATTTCTTCTCACGTATTGAATTCCAACCTAGTAAAATATTTAGAATATTTTTACTCCGAAAATGAGGATTGGAGATTTAAGATATTTTTCATTTAATTAGGGACTTTTGTCAAATCTTCAGATAAACATAAAACAAGTGAATCTAGGGAAACGATAAATTATTCAAATTTAAAAATATTTAGAGAAAATAAAACAATAGCTTAATCAATTTACGTTATCCTTTAGTCGAATAAAAAAAGACTAGAATCGTGTAGTCGAATAAAAGACTATAAAATGAACCCTATACCTGATAACTTTATAAACTAGAATCGTGTAGTCAAATAAAAGACTATCAAATGAACCCTTATACTTGAACTTTAGAAACTAAATCGTGTAGTCAAATAAAAGACTATCAAATGAACCCTATTACTTGATAACTTTAGAAACTAAAACCGTGTAGTCAAATAAAAGACTATAAAATGAACCCCTTACCTGATAACTGTGGAAACTGGTATCTTGTAGTCAAATAAAAGACTATAAAATGAACCCTATACCTGATAACTGTGGAAACTGGTATCTTGTAGTCAAATAAAAGACTATAAAATGAACCCTATACCTGATAACTGTAGAAACTGGTATCTTGTAGTCGAATGTTTTCCCGTGAAGGTGAATAAAAGTCTGGAAGAACTTGATATCGTATCTACCCCTGGGGGACAAGGAATGGATCTCTCTAAAGGAAGCAATATCGTTTCCTGTACTTGTCGTAGCAATATTAGCTTTCTGTACGATGTGATCTAGGAAAATAAAACTTTTGTTAAGTGTCTTTAAAAAATTAAAACTTATATATATATTATTTTTGTTATCTTTTAAAAACAAATTTCAAGCTAAAATTATCCTTTTTCAATAAAACTCAATATTTCTTTTATTTCTCCCTTGGTAAAATTCAGCTGGAATTGTGAAATAATATTTATTTAAACGTTTACAGTTATTCACAATTTAACCAAAAGTAAACAGGATACCATGACCTCCTTGATATGACAAAGGTTTAAAAAAACTTTAAGTTGTGACTCGTACAACCCTAAAATCTTACAAAATCCCAATTATCTAAACCTGTCATTTAAAAATAAGATGGAAATTAGTTCAACAAGTTCACCTTTAAACGCTTCCGCTGGATCCGTTTCTCCAGCAAGTTCACTTGAAGGAATATGGAACCTAAAATATTTTTAAAAATTAACTCTGAACCAACTCTCCAGGGAATCTATTTTCATTAGAATTTTTCTTTGGTGCCCATGGTCCAAGTATTTATTTTATGGGTTTACTCTCTGAATTGGGTATAATGTATCAAATATGAATGAAAAAATTTGCCAATTTTTCATCGAAACTCATCCAATGTTGAAGCACACGGTAATTGGTATATATTCTCAAGATCCCCCTCCCCCCCCGCGGGAAAAATGAACATCAAAAGCAAATATTTTTTTCCTCCTATTTGATACTTAATAACCAAAATTCATTTATTTCCCCCCATTCAGGGAATAAAACCAGTGCTTAGGATCCATTTAATTTTGATGCGGATCCAGTTCAATTCTTTAAGATTTACTGAATTTTTTTAACAAAAAATAATTTTCAAATTTTTTGTTTTATTTTTTCGCTTATTTTTTCCCCCTAAAACTATCCAGATATGAGGAAATATTTTTAATCTTCTTTTTTTTTCTTCAAAAATTCAGATTTGGGTTTTAGGAGTTAAAAAGTTTTTTTTTAGCAGTCTTTGGTTGATATTTTACCCCTTGGATCCGGATCCAGTAAGCCAAAATCTTGCGGATCCAACGGATCTGGATCCTAAGCACTGAATAAAACCATAAAAAATTTCTACATTGGGGGAAAACTATAATATCAAAGCTGAGGAGAGACGGGGGACCCCCTCTAGTCTAGAGGTATACCCTACCACAGTCTGTAATGAGGTACTCCCCAAGATTTCAAGCTTTACTCAACAAAACGATAAACAAGTTATTTACTGAAAGGGACTGTCCACGTAATTTCTTATGACCCCCAGTGTTAAAGAGGTGCATGCCCGATTCACAATTTACTTTATCTCAGCAACTTTTTGACTTTTTTCACAAAATGAGTTTAATTCTGTTAATTTGTGTCTCGATCCGCACCTCAAGTCAGTTTTCTAAAGAAACTGCTTATGAAAATATTGAATGTAATAAAGGAAAAGGAGAAAAGAGGAGTACTCCTATATTTACCATGTCAGATTCGATACAGTGCCCTTTCATGCTTTGTCTGATAACGTTTAAAATATCAATGATTTTCATGATTATTTTCAAGCTAGAAAAATTACAATATTTACCACATTATTGATCAAATGAAGGTTTCAATGGTACCGTTGTTAATCGTACAGGTCCCTCATAAAATGAAGTGTCACTTGAAATTACGATAGCCCGTTTAATGCAAAATTGATCTTTTTAACATTTGACATACCTCATTCTTAGCGTTTGCACAGTGAGAAACATAGTTGAGAGGGATCTCAAAAGCATCATGTTTCCCGACTTCAAAGTTTAGAACGGAACCATTAAAGTTAGCTGTTCCCCAATTCCAACCCTTGACGCTAAAAAATAGAAAATAAATAAAACAAATATTTTCAGATTTCCCGGTCGGGTCACATTTCAAGTAAAATAAGCAAATATAACTGTTTTTAATTATAAAAAAAAAAATAATGTGCGAAAAAATGGTTGCAGACAAATTAACATTTGAAGATTAAAATGATTACATAATACATATTTTAGCTTATTTTTAAATTTTGATATTATATTAAGTTTAATATTTACGATTAACCCTTACCAAAAATTCTATTTTATTTACCAAGGTAAATCTCAAGATAAGTGAAAATTATTTTCAAGGGCCAGGTTTGAGGAAAATAAATTTGGAAAATTATCATTTTAAACACAGGAATTTTTCTTGGCTGTAAATACTTTACACACAAGTCTTTTTTAAAGCAACATAAAAAAGTGGACTTTTGTAACATTGAGAGTTTTCTGTAATCAGGCGTTTTGTTGCAGGGCAGGTTTTTCTTACTTCGGTGTTTTGTTGCATTGGACGTTTTGTAATCGGGATATTTGTGTTTGGGTGTTTATTTACCTGAGTTCTTTATCAAGCATCTCCAGTTTGTATGAGGATTTAAAATGGTTTGCTACCCTATCCCTCTCAGCTTCTTTAAAACCAGCAAACCTGAACAGTGAACACTATAAAAGGATCCCTAAACCATCTTCTCTGTTCGGAATGGGTTAAGGGATCTGTTTAAACCATGTATATTGGACAACCAAAAATGGCTTTGTTTTTTTCCTTTTGAATTTTTACATCAGAAAAAGATTGTACCTGGCGCAATCCTAGTAATAAGACATGGGACTCCCCCCCCCCCCCTCCTGGATAGCTTAGGGGCCGCGACGATTATACATTTGAGGCGTGTGGTTACAAAGCTTGATTCATAATTTAGGTAGCTACTAAATTGCTGAAATTATCTTTAAAGATTTGAACTCCTGTCATGAATATTACCTGTGAAGCATTCCATCTTTAGTGAATATTCTTATTCCCCAGACACCGGCAATACGTTGCCAGTTTACCAGATCGATATCATCACTCTAATAATAAAAACAATAATAATACAAAAATTATTACATTTGGAAAACAGAAATAATGGCTGCTAGTTAAGCAGGTCTATCTCATAACTCAATGATAATAAAAATAATAATGACAATAATAATGATGATAATATAAAAGTTTAGAAACCGGAAATAATACGCTACTAATATGCCAAATCGATATCTAGTTTAAAAACAAACACAACATCGTTTTTCAGTTACGCTCACGAATTGAAACGAAAATATTATTTAAAATAAGTATCAAAGAATTCAGGAAATTTCAGAGATTTTTGTGTGATTTCTTACCTTAACGGTGTCTTTTCGTCCCGACTTTGAGTGTACGAATATAATCTTGGCGTCTGTAAGCTTGAGAATCCCGGGGGACATGACCCCGCGGACCTCGGAGCTCATACTCGGATACTCCAGGATATCCATTCTTATTCTGTAACGAAAACTCAAAATATCATTGAAAAAAAATGCATGACAAAACTATTCGGCGGCCAGGCCGGTGAATAGCTTTGTCCGGAGTAAAGTGAAAATTTGATTTGAAATTACAAAATATACAGACAAACGACATTTATGTACATGATATTAATTGTTTTCTTTGAAAAGCAAAACAATGGTCGTAACAAGTTTTTAAAAATTTGGACGTGGTCCACCCCAGCCTCCCATCATTGGTCTCATCCCTGGTGGGCCCATCATTCCATGTGGTCCGCCCATTCCCATCATGGGAGGCCCACCCATCCCCATCATAGGTGGACCACCCATTCCAGGCGGACCCATCATAGGCATACGCATTCCGGGCGGTCCCATTCCGCCCATCGGACCCATAGGTCCCATCGGACCCATTGGACCCATCGGACCCATTGGGCCGCCCATCGGTCCCATTGGCCGCATAGGAGGACCACCCATGTTTGATGGGGGAGGGACTGCATTGCCCGGGTGTTTCCCGAGCTTCCCCGACATGAATGCCGCCGTGGTTGCATCGATAAGGGACTGTGCCTGGTCCTCCATCCACTTCTGGTAATACAGCTTCACGTTCTCTTTGTGCTTTCTACCATTACAATGAGTTTTCCTGAAATAAAAAAGAAACAATAATAAATAGGTGTCCCAACATTATATGTATTGGATTGTGCATTGGGATTTTTTAGACTAAACAGAAAATTTAAAGATTGAATCATATTAAAAATTTGTGATGCTAAAATCAAAATTTGCATGCAGAATTTAGAAAATACAAGGTTCTTAAAAAATTTTATGCATATTTTGCAGTTCTTGGTTGGAGATAATCCTTTATAATATGGGATGCCCTGTATTAAGCTTAGACATGTGCTTGTGATTGTTTGGTCATTAAAACTTCCTTCTTACCAGATTATTATCTTAAGTGCGATTTGCCATTTAATACAAAAAATAAAACACTAACAAAACAAATCGTGGATTGAGCGATTTCCAAGATTTGAANTGTGTAATTAAAAAAAAAGTTTTAAGAAAAATTTAAACCATCCATAAACCTTTCCAGGGGTCATGCGAGGCCCCACAGAAAAATTTGGGCCGAATTGGTTCAGTCGTTTTCACTTTTGTTGGACAAAAAGAAACAAAGAGACGAGCTAAGTATACTTTTTATAGATTGTATTAATGGTAAGCAGAAAGAAATTAATGTTTGGATAGCAAAGGAACACAGAGCATACAAAAATGGCATCAAATTAGGAAGTTATTGACAACTCAGACTCCTAATTTCATCATTGTTCATGTGCTATGATTTTTATAGATTTTAACCCGAACCTGTCATTAAGAGGTGGTATGGGGTGTCGAATACAGTTTAAAACTTCTTATGTTGTTCTTTGTATTATTTTAGAGCAATAGAAGCGGAAAATAAGCCTTTAAGGAATTCAAAAAATTATCTAAAAAACCACGGATGTGTTCAATTTTATGAAAATTAAGGGATTTCCACTTTGATGCGTTCTTGGCTGTTTGTCAAAATGCAAATATAAATATTCGGAACGAAACAACTTTGATCAATATTTAGTGACTACTCCCAACACTAGAAATATGAAAACAGTTGCTTACCTAACAGAAGGAGTGTTGTGTGTAAGATACGTGTCACAGTAGTCACAATAAAACTTCGGCATTTTAAACTGAAATAAAAACAGTCAAGTTTCGTCAATTAAAAAAATTAACAAGTGTGTACAACTACAATTCTTATTAAAACTTAGATCCAATAATTATAAAGCAATTTAATATATTTAAGATAAAAAAGCATATAATTTAAGGTCAAAAAGGGTCTGTCCTAGAGAACGATTTGTGGATCTCCCCCCTCCTCCTATAAATTTTGTACATGATAACTTATTTTTCAGTAAAATCGTTCGCTAGGAAATTACCGACAACAAAACATTAAAAGATAATTGAGACAAAAAAAGACTGTAACTAAATCATTTAAAAATGAATAAGATTACGAAAGAGACTAAAGATCGATTAAATCACTTCTCGAAGAACGAGTTTGTCCCTTTGAAAGAAAATATTTCATGGGAACAAATGTTTCGGCCGGCTATTCGCGGTTTTCGCCATACATTTACTTAATGCTGCAAGAATGCCGCTGAAAACTTACATTTACAATGTTTATGGCGCTTTTTTCAAATTTTTTGGTCGTCTTTGATTAGCCACTGAAAATTAGGATGCTATATTGTTTGCCACTAATGTCCGATTGAACTAACGTACTTTTGCACTAAAGTCAGCTGATCAGTAGCCCTTGTGGCCGCAGCGCCCAGCTCTAGCCTGTCCTAGCCGCAGCGCTCGGCCCAGAAATTGTCTTAACCTAACCTAACCCTCAAATAAAATGTTATTCCGATCAATCATTAGTGCAAACGATACGACACCGTATTAAGTGCTATATCGACACCAAAATTAGGGTGCTATTTGAACTATACCGCCCATTAAAGCGTTTACAGGGGGTGAGGGGCAGTGCCCCCCTAGAACTCAGAGCTTTCACACTTTTCAAACCTTAAACTGGAGAGTGAAGAACATAAAAAAATGTTTGCTGTTCATTCAGAAACTTTTACGACTTTTACAAGTCGACATGATTATTTTCTGGACCTTTATAGTCCTTTTTTTCATCTCATAGATTTTAAAAAGTTTAAGTGAGTTTTTCATTTTCAAAAATGTGTTTTACTATCTCTAGTTTAAATACTAATTATTACTAACATAACATAACAAAGATTTTTTAGAAACAATGTTCTTCTGCTATTTGTTTGAAGGAGGGATAAAGTAGTACTTGCAGGATAATTGGACTGTATGTGAACCTTTAGAGTATCTTATAATTATGTCTTATATCCATGAGAAGCCAAATGTTTTGAATTTTCAGTTCAAATTTTAATGTTTAAATATACATTTCTTCCAAGACAAAATGTTTCATGGGTCTAACTCGTCTAACCCAATCATCAGTTGGAATTATAACTTTATATAAATATATATAAACACAATGGACGTATTTCTATTTTGATTTCTACCAAGCTATTTAACAGCAGAGACACTAAACAAACCAAAGTTGGCATTTATAAGTGTCTCTTTCCTTGTAACTTTTCACTTTATAAATGTTCGGATCTAAACATTAATAATTAACAAGTAGTCTTCATTGTATTGATATAATCGCCGAACATTTTGCTTCACAAACAAATTTTAGGATTGTAATATTTGTCAAGATATATTTATCGTATTAATATTATACTTAAAAACATTTATTATATAAATAGGATTTTTATATTCATAATATAAATGTTGAACCTAAAAGTAGGATTGAATAGAACCTACATTTACAAATTCCACAATCATCATTTTTACAATAATACAATAATATATGTAATCAGTATTTTTTTCGTGTTGTGAGCCTTGTGTGCGGTAAATAAATTTAGTTTTAAAAATATTCCATCCCACTCAAGGTAAAAAAAAATATTAAAAGAAAAATTATCACGTAATTCTAAATTTTTGCCCCAAAGCTTCAGTGAGGGAGGGGTGGCTGCTCTCAGGGTTTTGGAGTTGCTCCCAGGATTTTGGAATTGCTACCAGGGCCTTGGAGTTTCTCCCAGGGTTTTTGAGAAAAGGTGAAAATTTATCCGACCTTTTATGATAAATCCTTGGAAAGGGTAATTTAAAGCGGAAAATTGAAAAAAGGACTCTACTTTTTACTGTATTTGCTGAGATATTTGCAGAGGAAAAATCTAAAATTTCAGTTCAAGTAGTCTGTGGCCGATCATATAGTTTTGATTAGCCAAACTGACGACATTTGTTATAGCTTATACATTAAACATTATTGGTAAAAAAATTATTATTTTTGCTAGATTCATAAAGGTTTCATTTGAGCTAGTCTAATACGTCTTTACAAGTTATCCTATTTCCAAGTTTAATGTAGTTTTTTTCGAGAAAAATCAAAATTTTCACCTTTTAGATAGTATGAACAATTCCAATATATAGTTTATTTGGTATATATTTAATAAACAGATATTTATATCGAAGAGTAGATCTGTTCAAGTTGAAGGGTAGAGACGGACTCCCTCCTAGATTCTCGTTTTCTTGTTCGCAGATTTTCTTCTTTATCTTCGAGCATTTCTTAGTGGTTGGATAATGTATCTGTAAGATATATCAGAGGCGATTTACCGGCAGAAAAAGAACTATGAATTAATTTTTTCTGCCGGTCTTTCCGTTTCCCGAACCAGTATTGTAAGAACAAGGAGCTTTACATGAAAATGCTTTACGTCCATACTTCCTATGTGTATTACACCATCCAGCCATTGCAGAAGTATCCTGAGTATTTTGATTCTTCTGGCGATAATTGTGGATTGTACTGCAAAAGTTCTCCTCTGCTAAGTTATCCTCAGAAACTTGTTGAATAAGCTGTGAGGATTGGGAGGACCAAACAAGGTCGGCTTGTTGAGCAAGAGAACGAGGGTCTTCATATCCAAAGGTATGAAGATGTCCACGAATATTTCCTGGTATCCTGCGAAGAAATTCATTCAAAAAGAATGGGGACATGCTCTGACCAGTAGGACAGACTGCTAGCATTGAATCCATTAGGTCTGATGGTTTCCTATCACCTATTCCTGGCATAGATCGAATAAGCTCAGCTTTCTCCAGATCTGTATGTGTGAATTTCTTCAAGAGTCTCATCTTTATAGAGGTATATTGTTCTTCTCCCGGTACATTTTCAAAGAAATCTATCAGTTTAACTGCGATTTCGTTAGGCAAGGCTGCAACCACATGATGATATTTCGTTAGCTCACTTGTAATATTCTTTTTTGCAAACTGTGATTTGGCTTGTGCGAACCAAACTTTAGCTCCATCAGCCCAAAACTGTGGTAGTTTAAGAGCTACTGATTGAATATTCTCCAACTGAACCTCAGCCATTGTTCTTCTTCAGGGGTCACCACTTTAGATAGTATGAACAATTCCAATATATAGTTTATTTGGTATATATTTAATAAACAGATATTTATATCGAAGAGTAGATCTGTTCAAGTTGAAGGGTAGAGACGGACTCCCTCCTAGATTCTCGTTTTCTTGTTCGCAGATTTTCTTCTTTATCTTCGAGCATTTCTTGGATTTATCCTCTCAGATTCCTGCTTCTACAACCTAAAGAAATCTTTAATTTGAGTGTTGCCATCAAAATCCATTTTTTAATATGTTATAAATGTTCCATGTCACAATTAGAACCTTTCATTTGGCATGCACTAAAAGCAAAAAACATCTGAGATATCAGAGGAAAACTATGTTTTTTCTTAGTGTTCTTCAGACATCTCTTTAATTTGATGATTTTTGCGTTAGTGTGCACCGTATATAAGGTTCTAAATTTGACATAGATCAATTCTTATTTTGTGAGTTTTGAGTGAAAAATGCATTTTTAATGGCGAATAATTGGATCTATTCTCAAAACACTTGGAAATAAGATAAGTTATAAAAATGTTAACTATGAATTAGACCAGCTAAAATGAAACTTTTATATAGCTAGCAAATTTTTTTTTTTACATTTACCAAAGCAAATGTTGGCAATTTGGCTAATCAAAACTATAGATCACCACAGGCTACTTTGCGATTTTCCCCCTGCAAATATCTGAACAAAGACAGCAAAATAGGGATAGCATAGCCCTTTTTTCAATTTTCGGTTTTAAAGTAACCTTTTTAAAAGACTTTTCATAAAAGGTCGGATAAATTTTCACATTTTAATGCAAAACCCTGAAAGCAACTCAAAAATCCAGGGACCACTCTAAAACCCTGGGAGCAACTCAAAAACCCTGGGACCACTCTAAAACCCTGGGACAACTCAAAAATCCTGGGACCACTCTAAAACCCTGGAACCACTCTAAAACCCTGGGACCACTCTAAAACCCTGGGACAACTCAAAAATCCTGGGACCACTCAAACCCTGGGAGCAATTCCAGAACACTGAGAGTGCAGCCACCCCTTCCTCCTTCATTAGCTTCAAAGGGGAGAGCGGAGGGTGGTTAATGATAACGTCAGCCCTGTCCGAAACTTTTAAAAAATTTGTTGAGCAATCTATTTTTGAGACGATGATTTTCACGATAATAAGGCACTGAACACTTTTATTTATTAATCCCCATATCTATAGCAATAAGATGGCGTAAATCATTGATATTTCAAACTTGGACTATAATTGATCCAACAGAATTCAAAGCTTGAAATATGAAAACAATAGGGTTCAAATATAAAGCGATAAGAAAACAAGTTTTGGATCGTTTAGTAGGTTCCTTTTGTGAAATTTAGCTAGTTTAGCTGGTTACATGAGTGTCAACTATGAGAAATCATTTCATACATTATTCTTAGACAAAACATGAGAAAATAGGTTTGTAACTCCATGCTGAACTGCTTCTTCAATTATATCTTTTGTCTTTATCTTTATCATGATCTAGGACTCATCATGATATAGAACTTTATCATGATCTAGAACTTTATCATGATCTAGAACTTTATCATGACCTAGAACTTTATTATGATCTAGAACTTTATCATGAAATAGAAATTTAGCATGATCTAGAACTTAATCATGATCTTGGACTTAATCATGATATAAAACTTTATTATGATATAGAACTTTATTATGATCTAGAACTTTATTATGATATAGAACTTTATTATGATCTAGAACTTTATTATGATATAGAACTTTATTATGATCTAGAACTTTATTATGATCTAGAAATTATCATGATCTAGAACTTTATCATGATCTAGACCTTTATCTTGATCCAGAACTTTATCATGATATAGAACTCTAATCATGATCTAGAACTTAATCATGATCTTGGACTTAATCATGATATAGAACTTTAATATGATATAGAACCTAATCATAATCTAAAACTTTATTATGATATAGAACTTTATTATGATCTAGAACTTTATTTTGATCTATTACTTTATTATGATCTAGAACTTTATCATGATCCAGAACTTTATCATGATCTAGAACTTTATCATGATCTAGACCTTTATCATTATCTAGAACTTTATCAAGATAAAGAACTTTATCATGATATAGAACTAATCTAGGATTGCATCTTGATCTAAGAATGATTATGATTTAAAACTGTTACTATATCTTTAATTGCATCTTGATCTAGAGCCCTATCCTGATTTGAATCTGTATCTCGATCCAGAACCTGATCTAGAATTGTATCTCGATCTAGAACTATCACATCTTCATTATTTAAGGAAATCGAATATGCATTCTCTTCTCTGTCCTGGATACTGGAGTTGGAATTCTCTTCTCCGTCCTGTATACTGGAGTTGTGGTTGGGATTTTCTTCTCTGTCCTGCATCCCAGTAAGGGCCTCCTCAAGCTGATCTGCAATATTCCTGAGTTGGGCTGCACCTTCTCCTCCTCCTAAACAAGTCATTCGTATCAAAAAAATAATAAAAACACACTATGAAAGGACTTTTTATGAATTTAATAATGGTCAAGAGAAATGCTGAAAAAAATTGTCATAAAATCAATTAGTAATAGAAAATAACAAAAAATAACAGAAACAATAACAATAAAATAACATTAATACATACAAAAACAAAAAATTGCCTTTAACATTTCCTCTACAAATTAAAAAATTAATACCAATAAAAAGTTGAATAATTAAAAATATAAAAACGCCTATTTTAAGAGTGTGTACCTGAAGCTAACTCCTTGACTCCGCCCCTAAGCTGATAAACATCCCAGAGTAATGTTACTCCGCCAAAGACGGAGGTAACTGCTCCCGAGATCACCCGCCCACCAGTATTCAACAATATCTACACAAACTTAATTGATTAGAGATGTATATTTTTAAGAATTAAATTTGATGATAAAGGGGGTAATAAAAAAAATGGGTCATTAAAAGGTATTTTTTTTTGTTCCTTTTTGATACATGTCCATCAAAAATTCCATTATTTTCTTGTAAATATCATTAATTTTTCCCGATTCAGCGTCCCCCCACTACACCAACGACTAGCGAGATTGATTTGATTTCCCCTATTATACTTCATTTATTCTTTTTTTAAATTAACAAATAAAGTTTTCAATAATTACTCCTAACTTTACATTGTAACTTTTATCAGTGAACTGCATTTTTATTCACTAATTCTGAAAGATTTGTGTCGTTTAATATAAATGAATTATTTTTTGATAAATATTCAAATCAAATACAACATACAATCAAAAATTTAAGAATACAAAATTCACCTTGGTAATTTCCTTGTTCACGTCCTCCCCGAATATCTGTCCAATAACCTCTAATCCTTAAATAAAGGAATTTTCGAATTTGAAAAAATAATATTTATAATTCAGCTTAGTATTTTTGACATCAAAAATGTATTTTTAAATAACTTTTGAAGATTTGATTAACAAATAAGAATTACAATCTATTAAACAGAATTAATAAATCCCAAAAAATGGATGATAATTCAAGATTAATAATATTAGAACTAAATCAGTATCAGAAATGTAATCAATTTCATTTATTAAGGAATCTTTTATAAATATGTTAAAATTAGACCTGCTTTAATGGTTCCTCCAGGTTGACTTCCGGCAATCAAATCATAGAAACCTTTAAATATTTAATTCATCAAAAATAATTTTTCTTTAGAAGAGTCATTGATTTATAGAATTTTATGCTATTGTGGACATCTGGAAAAAAATCACTTCATACTGCAAGGACAAACGAAAGCTTGCGGGGTAGGTTAGCTTTCAAGAACTAAATGTTTTGAATGACATCTCATGATGCGTGAAATTTATAATCTACCGATTTTCTGTCCATTATAAGTATTCATATTTTTATGGTAGCCTGCTATAATACCTTCAGTACCATGGATGCTAAACCACCCACTGTCGTGGCTACACTTGTCACCTTAATTAGCCTATTATCCTACCTTCAGTACTTGAGGCTAGACCTCCCACTGTCATGGCTACACTTGTCACCTTAATTAGCCTACTATCCTATCTTCAGTACCATGGATGCTAGACCTCCCACTGTCGTGGCTACACTTGCCACCTTAATTAGCCTACTATCCTATCTTCAGTACTTGAGGCTAGACCTCCCACTGTCATGGCTACGCTTGTCACCTTAATTAGCCTACTATCCTATCTTCATTACTTGAGACTAGACCTCCTCCCACTGTCATGGCTACACTTGTCACCTTAATTAGCCTACTATCCTATCTTCAGTACTTGAGGCTAGANTCCTAGATAGCATAGATTATACTTCCTAGATAGCATAGATTATACTTCCTAGATAGCATAGATTATACTTCCTAGATAACATAGATTATACCTGTTAGATAACATAGATTAAATCTCTTAGATAACATAGATTACACCTCCTACATAACAGATTATATCTCCTAGATAACATAGATTATACCTACTAGATAACATAGATTAAATCTCCTAGATAACATAGATTATACCTCCTACATAACAGATTATATCTCCTAGATAACATAGATTACACCTCCTAGATAACATAGATTATTACTCCTAGATAACATAGATTATACCTACTAAATAATATAGATTATATCTCCTAGATAACATAGATTATACCTTCTAGATAACATAGATTATATCTCCTAGATAACATAGATGATACCTACTAGATAACACAGATTACACCTCCTAGATAACATAGATTATACTTCCTAGATAACATAGATTATACTTCCTAGATAACATAGATTATACCTCCTAGATAACATAGATTATACTTCCTAGATAAAATAGATTATACTTCCTAGATAACATAGATTACACCTCCTAGATAACATAGATTATACCTCCTAGATAACATAGATTATACCTCCTAGATAACATAGATTATATCTCCTAGATAACATAGATTATACCTCCTAGATAAGAGAGATTATACTTACTAGATAGCATAAATTATACTTCTTAGATAACATAGATTATACTTCCTAGATAACATAGATTTTATTTCCTAGATAACATAGATTATACTTCCTGGATAACATAGATTATACTTACCAGATAGCATAGATTATACTTACTAGATAACCATAACATAGATTATACTTCCTAGATAGCATAAATTATACTTACTAGATAGCATAGATTATACTTCCTAGATAACATAGATTATACTTCCTAGATAACATAGATTATATCTTCTAAATGAAATATATTTTACCTCCTAAAAAACAAGCTTCACTTAGATATTTTTTATCTAATTTCCTTGGTTTGTCTTACCTTCATTTGTTTAGATGCAAGAATTTTCTTAGTTATTGTTGCAGCTCCCCCCGTTAATCCTAATAATACATTATGCATATTATTGTTGCAACTCCTCTACAATGTAAACAGTAGAATATGTTTTACTTCTCTAACTTTTGTCATTAAGTTTTTATGTTTACTGGATCTCATTGTATCTATACTTTATTTCTAATTTCTAAAATTGTTACTAAGCAACGGGTTCTGATAAGGTAAATTTCATATAGAGGATAAAAAACAAAAACAAACATGGATTTTAAATGCAACATAAATCTTTGCAGATGAATCATAGGGAATACATTTAACGGAACCTACATTTTTAGAGAAACCTTTTAATGAGAATACTGAGAAATGTAAAAGGTTTATTTTGAGGGATTCTTATCATAACTAACATAATATGAATAGAGTTCTAATTTATCTAATAACTTAAAACTCGAGATTAAGTGTTAGAGGGGGAAGGGAGATAAGTGGGTACTACATTTAAATTATACTTCTCTATATCTAGAAGAAATTTTTCATAACTAGAAAAAATCAAGCTTTAGAAGGCGGGACCACAATAAACCCTCCTTTCAAGATGAAAGCAAGTACTGTACTGCACAGTGTACTGTACGGTGTACTGCTTAGTGTACTGTATAGTGTATTGTATAGTGTACTGTATAGTGTACTGTACAGTGTACTGTATAGTGTACTGTATAGTGTACTGGATAGTGTACTGTATAGTGTACTGTACAGTGTACTGCATCGTATACTGTATGGTGTACTGTATAATGTACTCTATAGTGTACTGTATAGTGTACTGTATAGTGTACTGTATAGTGTACTGTATAGTGTACTATATAGTATACTGGACAGTGTACTCTATAGTGTACTGTATAGTGTACTGCATAGTGTACTGTATAATGTACTATATAGTGTACTGTAACCTGAAGCTAATCCTATCCCTGCTCCCGCCACAAGAACGGGTGCAGCAGCACCCGCCGTCATTACTGTCATCACACCACCGGCGATCGTCAAACTGCCGGCGATAATACCGCCGCTGCTTCCGACAATTCGGGCAAATCCTGTTTTCTTTCCAATACTGTCTATGTAATCAGCTATCTCCCTTAATATAAAAAAATATTTTTTATTTCATTTTCACCAAATATCAATTAAACGATTTAGATACTTGTCAAATATATAGACACATATTTACAATAGTTTTGACGAAACGTTTAAATGAATATTCATAATTTTTAGAGACTGACGACATAATTTGTAAGTGATCCTCAATTTAGAGAGAGTAACCAGCAATGTATGGTAGTTGAAATGAGAATGTAGTAATTTTTTAGGAATCATTTGAGACCTATGAGACGTTTTTACGGTTCATATTTGTTCAGCAAGAGAGCAAATTTGATCTTTAAAATCCTTATAGATTGTTCACTTTGGAGGGATGATTTTGAGAGTCGGATTTAAAATTATGGTAAAATTCTACAGTAAACTAATTAGTTGTTTAGGAACAGGTTGAGCAAATAAAAATTAACTATCATCATCGAAAATAAGTTATATTATTCTGTATTTTCTCACACAAACATTTTCTTTATTTTTTTCTGATGTATAAATCCGCACGTACCTTATATTTAGAAAAGAAACTGAAACTAAATAATCTTTTTTTAAATAGAAAAACATGGATGATTCTATCAAACATGCTCAGACATATGTAAAAATCCTTTAAATGGAGGGTCACTTAAAATTACGTCGACAGACCCTTTAGCCCCCCCCCCCCATCAAACCCCCTGGGGGGGGGGGGGGTGGGGGGGTTTTTCTTAAATGAGAAAGAAAGAAACATACCTGAGTCGATATATCGTTCTTTCTCTTACTTCTCTCCATAAATGAAGTTTTTCCTCTGAAATAAATATTCAAATCTTGAAGATAAATTATACCTTCTAATAGTATTATTAAGCTTTGAATAGTGTATGACAGCTTCAGGGGAATGCATAAAAAATTAGAATTTTATTTCGAATTATCCCAAAAACCAACAAAAATGAACTGCCATTATCATGGTGTTTAACCCACCCACCAAAAAATAATTTTGTAAAAGAAGTTTTATTAAATATTTTAAAAAGCAAAAAATTTAAAAGAAAATATATTCTGATATATTGTTTAAATTTCAAATGTAATAGACAGGAAACAAACATTTAGATTAGAGGAAGGATTAGAGGAAGTAGACATTTTAAATAATTGCGGAGTTAATCTAAAAATTTTAAAAAGTTATTTAAATGTTTTGTAAAATGCTTGTATGTATATACAGAAGTCGTCGTAAATATCAATACAATGAAGACGACTGTCGATTTCAATTTTTGATTTCTACCATTCTATCAAACAGTATGAATACACATTGCATATATAACACGAAGGAAAAGAGAAGTGTCAATTAACACCTTCTCTTTGTTTACTTGTGAACTTGTAATTTGAGTAAAGCTTGTTATAAATCAAACCAAAATAGAAAAGTCGTCTTCATTGCATTAATATAAACACCGACCACTGTAGAATACTTACATTTTATTTATATTAATTGCATATAAATGATATATTTTTTGATGATACATTTTAGTGAGTTATTTGCATCTTCTAAAAAATCATTAATAAAAGAGACAAAAGTTCGAAGTTTTTTCTAATCATCACAACAGTAAAAAAGTTATTAAAAGCACATTTTTTCCGATTATTATTTTTCAATCCCCCTCCCCCCTGAAAAAAAAATAAAAAGAACTACCTAAATGTCGTATTTCGTAAGTTATCTCTTGAACGTCCTTCTCCGAAATATCTGTAACCTCTTTCAGCCTCGAAATGGCGTCCTCTAATGCCTTGTCGAAAGCCTCCAAACTCTTCGGTTTGGCCTCGGCCACCTCTCTGTCCTCGATAATCTCGAAACATTCGTCGGTGACGATAATCGATCCATCTGCTATATGGATTTCCTCCACACTTTCTGCTATAGAAACTACAAGAGATGTTAATCCTTCGGTTGAAAAATTCGAGTTCGAGTCCGGTTTTAAATCTTTCGCATCGTCAGTGGAAAAATCGTCCACAATCACTGTTTTGAAATCGTCCACTTTGGAAGAATTATCGATCGGCAACGAAGATTCTTCCGCTTTGAGGGAAGACGTCGTTTCCGGCCGATTTCGTCGGAAGAAATTCATAATTTCTTTATTTACTGTTTGTTTTCTTTGTTTATGTTTGAAACATCACTGATCAGCTGATATAAGTCGAGTTGGAGTTTCTGAAGTATAGAACTAACTGAAACCAAATCACGCAAACCAATACAAAACTATATATTTCACTTAATAATCGTAATATTTTTAAATAAAAACTTTTTAAATCAACTCAACAAAATTTTTATCTCAGGCTGTATGAGGGACTGAGTTGTGAGTGTAGTCATCAGCAGGGTTGCCAGGTTTGAAAAGAAGGAAAAGGCTAAATTGAGAATTTTTTAAGGCTACTTTCAGCCCTCTCTAGGCTACTTTTTGATGCTTGAATTTACAGTTTATTTACCTTGTTTAATACTAATTTATCACTAATTTTATCTTAAAATACTATTCACACATTGAACGTCCTCCAAAACAACAAATAAAAAGAACTAAGTTTTTTGTCTATATTAAAGAACCTTATTCTTTCATACTTAGACATACTATGGTTAGAGATATTTGTTGTTTAATGTCGAGAATGTTTGCGCGGAGCGCCAAAGAAATTTATAAATTTTATTTTTGCTGAACTTTTATGTAAAAAGTATCAAAAAGGATGAAAAAACTTGCCAATTAATGAAAAGGCTACTTTTAGGCCAATAATTTAACAAAAAGGTAGCCTTAAGGCTACCAATGCAAAAAGCATTCTGAAATCTGATTAGGCTACATTTATGAAAAGTGGCCTTCTAGAAGGCTACCTGGCAACCCTGGTCATCAGGTAGTCATTGAAAACAGCTGTGTTTGTTTTTGTGCGTAATTTGCGTCAACCTGTGAACTGCGTAGTTTAGGTACAGAAGACGACATTTATTTCTGGATAAGGATTGAAATAATATGGCATTGTAATTGTAATTGTAGCAATTGTTTAGGATATCTCTTCAATTTTTCTGGAGTGCAGTACAATAAAGTTATCGATTGGCTAGAGCAAATTGTTACTTATTTTTTCTACAATTGAGATCAAGTTCCAATTAATTAGTACGTGAATATATGATATGCTTTTAATAATAATGTTACCTTCAATGCGATAAAATTTAGAATTTAGTAAATTGTATCTTGATCTACATGCTGATTCACGAAGCCGGGTCCATAGGAAAAATTAATCTCAGAATTTTTCATTAAGTTTAACCAAAAAAGGGGGGGAAATGTTGATATTTATTTTTAATCAGTAACTCTTGAAGATATTTTCTTGACCTTGGATCCGGATCAGCATCAAAATGAAATGGGGCCTTAGTACTGGTTAAAAGTAATCCTAATTCTTGCATTTCTTTGGCTTTTATCATTTTATACATGCCCCTACTTTGTTTTTGCTGTGGTGCAGATCTTAATGAAAATTGTTTAATTATCTTAATATAAAATCTGTTTTGCCAAAATACAATAATATTTTTATCGGAAAATATTTAGAATTTCTCAGAATTTCTATTTACATTAATGTCGTAGAGTGTATAGACTGTACTGTTCACCCCTTTTTATATTTGGCTTTCTTGTCTAATGTTTGTATCTGTCAAAACTGCGAAATCAATCTGGAATTCTAGAACAGAGTTTAACAAATTTGAGAGGTCGTTGAACTACCTATAGTACCTTCTGCCGCGCCACCGGTTCAAATCCGAAATTACCAATTCAAATCCTCGTGAATCGTTTTTTTCTAATTTTTCCAGTTTTCTTCTTCGATCCTTTAATTTCTTCTTCAAATTCCAATTTTTCTGCTACGTCCCTAAATTTCTTCTTTTTAACCCCAAGATTTTCCTGTCAATTCCAATTCTTCTTTTTATAATATCCCAAAATTACTCTCTCTCGAATTAATCCCATTTTTTTCTTCAATCTCAAAATTTCTTCAAGATTAGGTTGTAATAATTAAATTACTAAATCTAAATGGTTTAATTTTAATTTTATTAGAACTGAAACCATTCTTCAACTTTGAATTAAACCTGGATATATATATATATATTTATGAAATATGTCCAGGATGGTTCTGACATATTTATAAATTGGGTTGTGTCCAGAAATTGAATTTAAAATTTTCAATAGTAAAATCAGGATCTGAATCAAGAATGGTTTTACAAATATGAAAAAAGACAAGGGCAAAGTTTGCTGTTTTTTTAGGGGGGGGGCGCAAGAATAGACCAACCCCCCCCCCCAATAATTTGGATTTGTTCTTTCAGTCATTGCAAAAACGTTACGGGGTTTTTATCAAACACTTTTTCAAACTGCAGGGAAAGATGCCTTCAGAAACCAGTTTGTCCGAATACTGTACTATCCGACCTTAAACTGATTCATTTCAATTATAGAAACACAGGCTAGTAATACATGTCTAGATAAAGGAATTGAACTTAAATTTTCTAATCCCTTCATGATGGTGTAAACCTTTGAAATGTAAACTTAGAATTAATAGTTTAAAATATCTAAGGTCTATCACTTTGAGTCGCAAAGGTATATGGATTAGAAAGTCAGAGTTTGTGGCAAAAACTCAATTCCTTCGGGTGTAGATATAATTTTACCAGGAAATCTATATCACATCATTTTTATCATGCATAAGTATATATATATATGACATGCATATATTGCTTTGGTAACTCTGATGGGTCATCATAAACATAAATACGGGTGAACCGATTGAGACCATTTTTAGGTGAGAAGAGTTGGTGTTTGAACGATCAAAGTGAAAGATATTTCTCAGAAATAAAATGTTCTATTTATTTTGAATTCATAAATTATAAAAAAGCTAATTTTTCTCTTCAGTATAGTTTACGATTTTAATTAAGCCTAAGTGTACTTAAAGGAGAAATGGATTAGTTCCTGAGTAGTAAAAAAAAACCTTCGGGTTTATTCATACAAAATATTTTTATACAGTAAAACCCTTAAAAACGAATACATCGAAAGAATTTATCAAATGTTGTCTTGACAATTTGTCAATGAGTTTTTTACTAAATTACATAAATTTCAGTGTTTGCGAAAATAAATAAATAGCCATGAATATGCGGGAACAGTTTTAAAGAGTTCAATATAATCATTTAATTAAAAAACTAAATATCTGCAACATTCCATCATCAGAAAGTGAAGAATACGACATTTGATGAATTCTTTCGATGTATTCGTAATTAAGGGTTTCACTTTATAATGAGTTATTTCGTAATCCATGCTTTCATACATATTTACGTAACACATGTAGCAGCCAGCAGCCTTTAGATGTTCAATGTTCATTTCAATAGAAAATATAATCCTTGGAGAAATCATTTCTAAATAAAATTCTATCCTCCAAGATTTTAGAAAAGAAAATTCAATTTGTAAAAGTAAAAAATATTAACTTTAGAATCTAATTCATTGACCTGCAAGTCATCGTACCAAAGTACAAAGGAATTGAGTCTTTACCACAAACTCAAAAGGAATTGAGTCTTTGCCACAAACTCAATTTTTAAAATCCCTTTTTCTATGGAACCTGATGTTGTAGACTTTTGATATTTCAAACTAAGATAATTTGATGCAACAGAATTCATAGTTTGAAATATCTAAGGTCTACGACATTGGGTTGCAGAGATATAGGAATTAGAAAATCAGAGTTTGTGACAAGGACTTAATTCCTTTGCAAACTGATGGTGTAAACGTTTGATTTTTCAAACTTAGATTATGTGATCTAACAATACTTTATAGTTTAAAATATCTACGACATTAGGTTACAAAGATATAAGAAAATCAGAGTTTGGGTCAAAGACTCGATGCCTTTGTAGTTTGCATAAATATAGCACAATTGTTCTAACAAAATTTCTGCAGTGTATCAATTATGGCAATAGCAAATTCCGGATTCCAGAAACATAATTTCCGGACAATTTTCAGTAAAGAAACATTCGGAAAAAAAGGAAATCGGTTTCTTATTATTATCTAGTGCAAGGGTTAGGCTTTCATATTGCACTGCAGCCTGTGTCTTGGACAGATTAGGGGGCCGAGCACTGAAAATATGTGACTGCGAGTTCGATTAAAGAAAAATCCAAAATATTTCTCCGGAATTATACTCTTGTTTACATTGATCCGTTGGTCGTTAGTTTTTTTTTTTTTTGGGGGGGGGGTAGGGGGAATACTCAAAAAAGTAATAATTCACATTGATCCAAAATGTGCACGCATTCAAGCAAAAATCTTTCAACAAATATACAAGTTTGTAAGATAAAACCCGAGGAAAAAGCATTGTGGCACTTCAATAACGACCTATATAGTCTTACAATGTGATGCACATTTTTAATAGCGTCCTGGATCTCCGTGAAATCAAATATCAATGTATCTAGGTGTATCCTATCAAGCTAGTGATGTATCTAGGTGTATCCTATCAAGCTGGTAATGTATCTAGGTGTATCCTATCAAGCTGGTAATGTATCTAGGTGTATCCTATCAAGCTAGTAATGTATCTAGGTGTATCCTATCAAGCTAGTAATGTATCTATAGGTATATCCTATCAAGCTGGTAATGTATCCTATAATACATATACACACTTTACAACATGGTTTCCTGTTTACTAAAGACTGTTTATGAATAGTTATGACAGGTCCTATTTACTTCAAGAAAATATATTTTCCCTCGAATATATCTTTATTTATGTTGATCTATACATTATTAATGTGTGTATAAATGTAAACGATCAAAAATAAATTTCTTCAGAAAATTAATCATAGACATGGGAAAACAGAGCCCCATACGGGCCATAACTAGTATTTCAGACATAGCTACATAGCTTAGTTTGTTTTTCTGGTGGCTCAACTTTAAAGGGAATCAGTGTGAACTTTAAACATTTCAAAATAGTATTCTGTAAAAGTTTGCTATCATTAAACTTTGAAATATTTTTATCCTTAGTGAAAATATCAGGGGAAAACGAACCAAAAAACGATAGTTTTTGGTTAAATTTTTGCATAACATTTGTCTTGGGGTCAAAATTTGGCTACAGTGTATGAAAGGCAGGTGTTTAGAATACAAAATTTTGAAATTCAAAAGTCCAAAAACCTTGAAAAGTTTTGAAAAACGAACCAAGCTAGTCCTATTGCACTACCCGTAACCCTCATAGATCCACGGACTGCTATGAAAAGTTGCATCAATTTTTAAGACTGGGTTGAATTTAAAATGTCGCACTTGCCACGCCTGGACCTTTTATTTTAACTCACAAGTCACTTAAACTTTTTTTGTAGCTCTAGACAATTGACAATTTTGAACTTTAAAGTGCTTGATTTTTAACTTTAATTTTAAGA